CATCGAACCAACGATGCTGCCCATCTTGGGCCGAGTACCCAGAACCTTGAAAATCGACTGCGGTTTGGACGGCCGAATCAGGAGCGCGAGTCTCGAGCTCAGCCAGTCTGCTTGGGTTCGCCGTGACAGTGGAATGTGAGCTTGGCCTGCGTAAGAAGCGCCTGTCCGTTGGGCACACCTTGGAATAATACTCACGCCGCCAAGCATGCGGCCCATAGCGCCTTCCCACCCGCCGCCATCCCAGCAAACTGGGCAAGATTAAGTGCGAGCGCAGATCTCGTATGAATCGCATCTACTACATCGCGTCATCGCGGGTCTTGAGTACACATCATGTCCATCCATGGTGCTGCGTTCTCGCTGGGGTCGCACCACAGACAAAATGCTCAAGACGGCCTATAGACTGCCCACGAGGCCCTCAAGACGGCCCAAGAGGGCCCAAATAATGGCCCAAAAGAAGCTCCAGAGGGGAACACGAAGCGACGTTTCGAGCCTTCCGCCCGAAGATGAACCTCGAGACCACCACCAGGCCCCCAAGAGTCCCCCAAAAAGCTCCAGGAGGCCCCACATGGGCCCACATCAGGCCCCATCACGCCCACATGAGGCCCCCGAGAGGTCCAAGAAACTCTCAAACCGCCTCCAAGAGGCTTCCGAAAAAAAAGGCGTCCAAAAGATCCCCCCAGGCATCCTAGATGCCCCTCACTTACAACCAAGGCGCGGTGTCGGGAGTTGCCGACGGCCTGTATACAAACGCACACACACATACACACGCAACACACAAGCACATACATACCTACCCATCTACCTACCTACCTACCTACCTACCTACCTACCTACATATATACGTACGTACGTACGTACGTACGTACGTACGTACATACACACATACATACATACATACATACATACATACATACATACATACATACATACATACATACATACATACATACATACACACATCCATACATACATCCATACATCCATACATCCATACATCCATACATCCATACATCCATACATACATACATACATACATACATACATACATACATACTAGAACCACGCGCGCGCTTCGCGCGCGCTTAGCTTCTGTCGAGTCCCAGACCCAGGAATCCTCCTCCTCCTCCTCCTCCTCCTCCTCCTCCTCGTCTTCCTCCTCATCCTCGTCCTTTCCCGAGCGATACAATAACAACTTGCGTGGAACCCCTCTCGGGCCCATCTTGGGGCTCTCTTGGGCCGCCTTTGGAGCCTCTTGGGGCGTCCTGGGTCTCTCGTGGGGGCTTCTTGGAGCTCTCTTGGCGCCTCCTGGAGCCTCTTGGGGCCGAAAGCTCGGAATTCTACAGTGGCTTTCTCCCTCTGGGACCCCTCTCGGGCACGCCTTGGGGCTCTCTTAGGCCATTTTGGAGTCCAATTTTGCCGTCCTGGGCGCCTCGTGAACCGTCTTGGAACTCTCTTGGGGGCCACCTAGGCCGTCTTGGGAGCCTCTTCGGACGTGTTGGACGCGGTGAAAACCCAACAGGCGACCATGCGAAAAGTATACGTTTTCCCATAGGAATGGGACCATTTTTGCTTCTTGGACCTCTCTTGGGGTGCCTCTCGGAACGTCTTGGGCTGATTTTGGAAACCTTTTGGCGCCTCTGGGCGGCGTTTTGGCGCCTCCTGGGATGTGTTGGGCCGGAAGCTCGGAATTCGAGAGTGGCTTTCTCCTTCTGGGACCCCTCTCGAAGTCGTCTTGGGGTTCTCTTGGGCCGTCTTGGGGCCGTCCTGAGCCACTCGTGCGCAGCCTTGGAGCGCTCCCGGAGGCCTCCTAGGCCGTCTTGGAGGCCTCTTGGGCCGTCTTGGACGCGGTGAAAGCCCAAGATGCGAACATGCGAAAAATATACGTTTTCCCATAGGAATGGCACGATTTTTGTTTCTTGGACCTCTCTTGGGGTGCCTCTCGGAACGTCTTGGGGTGCTTTTGGGAGCCTTTTGGCGCCTCTTGGCGGCATTTTGGCGCCTCCTGGAGCCTCTTGGGCCGGAAGCTCGGAATTCGAGGTTGGCTTTCTCCGTCTGGGACCCCTCTCGAACTCGTCTTGGGGCTCTCTTGGGCCGTCTTGGGGCCGTCCTGGGCCACTCGTGCGCAGCCTTGGAGCGCTCCCGGAGGCCTCGTAGACCGTCTTGGGCGCCTCTTGGGCCGTCTTGGACGCGGTGAAAGCCCAAGAGGCGAACATGCGAAAAATATACGTTTTCCCATAGGAATGGCACGATTTTTGCTTCTTGGGCCTCTCTTGGGCTGCCTCTCGGAGCGTCTTGGAGGCTTCTGGGACCTTCTTGGTGTCATGACAGGCGTCTTGGAAGGCATCTGGAGCCATCGGAGCGCGTTCCGAAGCCGCCTGCGAACGATCTTGGACGGCGTCCGGCGGTCCAACGAGCCTCCGGGCCCCCCGGGGCCCACATTTGCGGTCGGGGTCCCGGCCCCGGGCCCCCGGACCCGGTGCGCCGTTATATGTATACACGCACGCACGCACGCACGCACGCACGGCACGCACGGCACGCACGGCACGCACGGCACGCACAGCACGCACGGCACCCACGGCACCCACGGCACGCACGGCACGCACGGCACCCACGGCACCCAGCGCACTCAGCGCACCCAGCGCACCCAGCGCACCCAGCGCACCCAGCGCACCCAGCGCACCCAGCGCACCCAGCGCACCCAGCGCACCCAGCGCTCCCAGGCACCCACGCACCCATGCACCCACGCACCCACGCACCCACGCACCCACGCACCCACGCACCCACGCACCCACGCACCCACACACCCACACACCCACACACCCACACACCCACACACCCACACACAACACACACACACACACTTGGATCTGCGGGGCGAGAGCGAACCTCTTCCGCTAAAGTTAGGCCCACAGACACACGCGCGCGCGCGAGCACTGGAACCATGCCTGCGCTTCGCGCGCGCTCAGGTTCTAGTCACAATTCCGACATAGGATCCGCTCTCCCTCAACGCGATCAGGCCGCACCCATGCGCGGGTAGCCATGTGACGCAGGTTCAGTGAGAGACTTCCCGTTTCTCGCTTGCAGTGAGCTGCATGCGGCATGAGCTACATGTGCTAACCATGCCAAACGAGCAAGGGCATCACACATGTCCCACAACATTCCAGGGAGAGCATTCTTGAACATGCTCGCATCCTTCGTCACCGTCGATTTGGAAATTGGCACAGCAATGGAAATGCGAAGATGTCTGAGGCGGTCAAACATTTGGTGATGAGGGTCGGGGCCCTTTGGTCCTTTTCCGGGCATCCTGAGCAACATCGCGCTCACCCCTACCATACGTACACAGGTCCACATCAGCCTGTCGAGCAACGCACGTCTACGCGTGCAATATGCGATGACGAGATAAACCAGCCTTCTCCATGACACCCGAAACGAAATTCTCCTCCAGGCTCTTTAAACCCCCCAGCGTCGACGACATGGATGCTGCAGTCCTGGCCGATCACCGCGATCCAGCAGTTGTTTTCAATTGCGCTGTTTTCGTTCACCCTTGTTGGTGTTGCCATGGGGAAGAGGGAGGGTGAACTCTGATGAGCTGGCCCGAAAACCGTCAGGACAGAAGGGAGGAGCACGTCCCTGCTGGAGTGAGCCTCTGAGGATCTCATGGGACACGTTTGGAGCACCTCGAGGACTTCTGGGCGGTGTCTTGAGGGTCTCCTGGCGGTCTCGGGAGCCATCCTTGGGGGAGAGGCCCAGAATTTCAGTTTGTGCCCCCCTGCCCGCGGCCGAGGTCCACTCTCGGGGCGTCGTGGAGCTATCTTGAGCGGATTTGGCAGTCTGTTGGGCTTGGGCAGTATTGGTGCTCACTTTGGCATGTGCTGGGGCTATCCTGGGGGCTTCGCCATCTTGGGGCGATCTCGAGGGACTCTTTGGATTTCTTCGGGGGATGGACCTGGTGTGAGCAGGGACCCAACTTCCTGGCATTCCTGTAGGCCTGCCACGACATGTTCTTAGATTCAAAGAATGCTCGACCAAAACAAAGACAATGTTCTTAGAGCATAAAGCCGACGTGTTAAAACAATCCCAGCCAGAAATGTTTAAGAACACGTTGTGCAAACCACAAGAAGTTCTGAGAACATTCTGTGGTGAGCCTGTAGGCAGGCCAGGACGCTTCGCGACTGCTTGACTTCTGAGCTGGGGACACGTCGACCTGGAATCGGTGATACATCGCACGATCGATCGGCGATAGGCCAAAGCACGCGATGCAGAACGTTCCTGGGTGGGTCAGGATCCCTGGCCCCCATCGGCGATGAGTGGGCGACGAGGGGTCGACGCGCTCCCCGTCGAGACTTTCCCCCCCTTTTCGTGTTGCCCCTGACGACCAACGACCCAGACATCCGACGCCTTGAACTTCTTAAGATTTGGACGCCCGAAATGGGTACGGAAGAAATGGGTACAACGCCCAACAACACATGTTGTCCCAAACCAAGAGCGGCCGCTGTTGGGCAGGCGGCCTTCTGTCTCGAATGGGCACAGGCCGCGGCGGCGCGGACAGCGAGTCCTGCTCAAAACGAACAGAAACCGCTGTTGGGCATCGCGCCCACTCTTTCCGTGCCCATCTCGTTCGTGCCGATGAGACGGGGCCCCTGGACGCCCGGGCCAGCTCCCAGGGGCCCGGCCCTCCCCCCCGAGCCGTCTCTCCACGGCCCTGGGGCCCCGCGACGGCCCCCCACGAGGCCCGAAGACCGAGAAGCACCTCCTGGCCACGCGCAGAAGGGGGCAGGGCGAGGGGGGAAGGCTTCTTAGAAGGAGGCTGCTTCTTAGAAGGCGCGGGCCTTCTTTGTAGATGTAAGGCCGGCGCCTTCTAAGAAGCAGCCTCCTTCTAAGAAGCCTTCCCCCCTCCCCCTGCCCCCTTGTGCGCGCCGCCAAACCTCCGCGTGGAGCTCCTCGCGGCGCTGGAGGCCTTCGGGACGGCGCCGGCCGACGGCGCCGACCGCGCGGCGCGCCTGGATGGCCGGCAGAGGCGCGCGGGCGACGTTCGCCGCGGCCTGCTGCTTCAAGCTCTTGGCGTTCTCCTCCTGCTGCGCGTCCTGTGGGCCCGAAGGATGCCGCCCCGGCGACGGCCGAAGGCCGACGATGACGGTCGGGGGCGGCGGCGGCGACGGCAGAGGCGGGCGGCGACGGCGGCGGCGGCGGCGACGACGACGACAATGCCGGCAACCAGCGATGGCGACGACAGGCGGCCGACGGCGGCGGCGGCGGAGGCGGCCGACGGCGGGGCCTCCGAACGACAGGTCAGGACGGGGCTCTGCGCCACCAAACTTCGCGCACTGCGCCCCGCGATGCGCGATGACTTTCGCGCCGTCGCACCCTCGCGCCGCCCCCTTGGAGGAGGGCAGCCGCTCTGGCCACGACCGCGACTGGTCCTGCGGGTGATCTGAGGACTGCGGGACCAAAAAGGATCGACGGTACAGTCGGGGTGGATTGGAGAGGACACGCGAGAGGACACAAGACTCTTCCGATGGCCACATGGCCAGTGGAACGTGGAGGGTATGGGTCGCGAAACACAGGACACAAGGGTACCTTTGTTTGGGCAGGGTCGACCTACAAATCAAACTCGACAATACCGCTGCTCCCCAGACCTCTCCTGGACTGCAACGCGGACCGAGCTGTGGTGGGGCGAGACGGGCGGCGGCATCGGCAGCTCTCCCACTCCCGGGGGGACTCCTGCAGCTCCAGGATGAACTTCATCTTCTGCGCAGACGTCAGCGGCCGCCAATCGTGTGCGTTCACCTGGGCGGCGTGCGCGAGGGGGCAGGAGGAAGGGGGAAAGCTTCTTAGAGGGAGCCTGCTGCTCAGAAGGCGCCGGCCTCACATCTACAGACGGGGCCCGCGCCTTCTAAGCAGCAGGGGCGCTGCTACGAAGACTTCCCCCCTCCCCCTGCCCCCCTCGGCGCGTGACCGCAGAGGAGGGGAAAGGTTGGGAGTCCCGAAGCGGTGCGGTGACAGACCGTGCGGTGACCTCGAAATCCCCCAAGAAGACCTCACCGCGCGGTCCCTCACCGCACGGTCTTGGGACCCTGGAGGCCCCTGTCGCCCGAGACGCCCTCGGAGAACGACCCGAATCCCCAGACCGTGCGGTGACCCCGAATCCCCACCGGCTCACCGCACGGTGTGGTCACCGCACCGTCTGGGGGCCCCCGAAAACGGGGGGGCCCTTCCCCGTGCATTCTTCCGGGGCTCGCATTGCACGCTACAGATAAGGCCCGCGCCTTCTGAGAAGCAGGGGTGCTTCCAAGAAGCCTCCCCCCAACACCCCCTGATCCCCTCGGCGCGTGGCCGCAGAGGACGGGAAGAGGGGGGGCCCTCCCCCGTTCATGAGTCCGGGGCTCGCGTTGCACGCAGGAGAGACCCCAGGCAGGAGTGACCTCCGGTTGCGCGGCTCTCGCGGGCCACAGGGCGGCCAGGTCCGAGCGCCCGGGCCAGTGCTGGCGGCACTCCTGTGGGCCGGCACCAGGGGCCACTCGGGCGCTGGCGCGCACAGCCAACCGATGTCACAAAGATGCGCGGTAAGGATGCCCGGGCCTGCAGGGCCAACGGCCGCGTTTTTCGAGCGGGGTTGGGCAGCAGAGGCCACCAAGGATGGGCCGAAGGGGCCAGGATGCAATGGTACCCTCGGAAAGGCTGCCCATCCTTACTATGCGGGTTAACTGTAGCCTAACCCAGGAGAGCCCAGAATCTAATCAGCCAAATCGCATCGGCGATCGATCGACATAAATTGGATCGGCGGAAATCGGCAGCTGAGTCGTGAAAAGTCGCATCGGCAGACATCGGCAAGCTAATAGGCCTCCATTGGGAAATCGGATCCCAGATCGGAATCCCAAGCCGACTCGAATCGGCATCGGACCGGAAGCCATCGACATCGAACCACATTGAGGCAGAGGAATCGAAACGAGCCCTGCCCAACATCCCTCTGTGATAGGCCTGTTCTCCACCACCACCATAAGTTAAACTGGAGGGGGAGGGGGTCCTCCTCCTCCTCCTCCTCCTCCTCCTCCTCCTCCTCCTCCGCTTCGTCCTCCTCCTCCTCCTCCTCGTCCTCCACCTCCACCTCCTCCTCCACCTCCTCGTCCTCCTCCTCGTCCTCCACCTCCTCCTTCTCTCTCCTCCTCCTCCTCCTCTTCGTCGTCCTCCTCCTCCTCCTCCTCCTCGTCCTCCACCTCCATACCCCCTCCAACTTATGGTGGAAAACAGGTCCGTCCCTCTGCGCGTGGCCGATCACCGCGTGCAGCTTCTGCCCCAGGCGGCCCAGCAGCCGCTGCCTCAGCCGCTTCTCCGCCGTGAGCTGCTCCGTGCCTGCCCGTCGGGGCGCGGCGCGCTCCTCGCCCCGCCCGCCCCCCCCGCCGACCGACCCCTCACCGCCCCAGACCTTCCATTGGAGGCCTGGAAACCAACACCAACACAGGGGATTGCCTCCACAGGGGGAAGATGATCCTAGATTTCGGTGCTTGTGGTAATATTTCGGTCACCTTGGCAGCCATGATATTACCACCATCACCGAGATCGGGATCTTCTTCCCTCGGTGGAGGCACACCGCCGATCTTGGTGTTGGTGTCAACCTCTAGGCCTGCGATTCCACGCTATTTTCGGGCCAGGCGAAAGGGGGGGCTAGCGAAGGGGGGGGGTTGGGAATCGGCTCACGTCGCTGATTTTCCCGGCGCCTCCCAGCGCCGGGAGGCGCCCATGTATCGAGGAATGGGCCCGACGGCGGTGCCGCCACCAGCTGCATGCAGCAGATTTCGTAACCCCCCCTTTCCCTATCCCCCCGTTCGCCCGACCCGATCTTTAAAAGGGGCCCCGGGGCATCACTTTTCGGCGTCGGCGTCTGGGCAGAGTGACTGCGCTGGCGGAGGGGGCAACTGCTGGTCGAGCAATTGCGAATCGGGCCGCGATGCACGAGAGAGGGAAAGAAGACGCCCGGCGACGGCGGGGAGGAGGCGAAGCTGGACCCGCTCAAAGCGGGGCAAAGGGCGAGGGACAAACACACAAACACACAAGCACACAAGAACACAAACACAATCACAACACACAAGCACAAGCACAAGCGCAAAAACAAACACAAACACACACACAAACACACACAAACAATTAACCCCATGCTCGCGATAATAAACACTAGGGGATAATAAAGTTTGGGGTTCAGCGGGAGATAATCAATGTAGCCCACCAGACCTCAGCATAATCTCGAAGTAAGAGATGATCAAGAGGAGACCAAACCGAGCACGTTTTGAGACATCCTTGGCGTTTAGTCTTCATTAAAATATCCTCAACAATGGCTTATCTCGCTGGATACATCCTCGACAAATCCCTTGTTTCGCTTGAGACATCCACAAACTATTGCTTATTTCGCTTGAGACACCGTCAAACTATTGCTTATTTCGCTGAGACATCCTCGAAATAATTGTGTTTTTCGCTTGAAACATCATCAAACTATTGCTGATTTCGCCTGAACATCCTGAAACTATTGCGTATTTCGCTTGAGACATCCTGAAACTATTGTTTATTTCGCTTGAGACACCGTCAAACGATTGCTTATTTCGCTTGAGACATCCTCGAAATAATTGTGTTTTTTATTCTCGAAGGTCTCATTGTCTGGTTCTGCTCTCTGAGCAGCCATCTGCTTGAGCAGCTCTGCTTCAGCAGCTCACCTTGAGCAGAAAGAAATAGTGAGAGAAAGAGGAGAGAGGGAGGGAGAAAGAGAGAGAGAGAGGTGAGACTCTCTCTCTCTCTCTCTCTCTCTCCCGCCGTGCGCTCCTCTGAGGTTTATTATCGTCGGCAGTTTTTTTTATCATCGGCTGAGGTTTATTATCGTCGGCAGTTTTTTATCATCGGCAATGGTCAATCGCAACTCCTGAGCTCTCCCGGAAGACGGCGGCACGCAAATGATACGCTTTTTTTTTTTTTAGAAAAACTTCAGTTTGGAAAAAACTGTTTTTAATTGCGAATTCCATTGTAATCCTTTCAAAATTGCGAAATCGAGCCGTCAGGCGCTTGAATGCCACATTGCGTTCGAGATTTAAGCACGCGACGCATTTATGAGAAATTTGCGTCGCACGCGCTTTTGCCCGAATATCGAACGCAGCGTGGCATTCAGGCGCGTGCGGGTTCGAATTCGCAATTTCGAAAGGATTTCAATGACATTCGCAACCAAATATAGTATTTTTTGTCAAAATAAGGTTTTTCAAAACAAATCGTGTCATGAGAAAATTGCGTCGCACACGCTTTCGCCTAAATCTCGAACGCAGTGCGGCATTCAAGCGCCTGACGGCTCGATTACGCAAATTCGAAAAGATTTCAATGGAATTCGCAAATAAATAATATATATTTTTTTTTCAAAATGAAGTTTTTCAACAACATGCGTATCATTTGCGTGCCGCCGTTTTCCCGGAGAGCTCAGGAGTTGCTATCGACCACTGCCGATGATAAAAAACTGCCGACGATAATAAACCTCAAGAGGTTGTGCTGAGGGGTTGTGCTGGAGGGTTGTGCTGGAGGGTTGTGCTGGAGGGTTGTGCTGGAGGGTTGTGCTGGGGGGGTTGTGCTGAGAGAGAGAGAGAGAGAGAAGGAACAAACAAATAATATCAACATATACATTTTTTTTTTTTAAAAAAAGAGAAAGATATAACACATTTCGCAGACAAATAAAAAAACACAAAAAAACATTATACTAAAGAAGAAGAATAATACGAATAATAAGAATAAGAAGAAGAGAAGATATATAGAAAGAAAGACAGATAGAGGATGAGGAGGAAAAGCACAAATTTCAAGTTTCAAATCCATCAGATTTTATTTAGAAGCGCTTTATGACAATTGAGAAAGAGAGAGAGAGAGAGAGAGAGAAGAAGAGGAGATAATGAAAAGCAAAAGAGGAAGGAGAGGAGGAGAGGAAAGGAGAAGACAGGAGAGGAGCAAGAGGAGAGAGAGATAGAGAAACAGAGAGAGAGAAAAAAGACAGAGAGGAAATAATAAAAAAACTATCAGATTTTCCATGGATAATCAATCCCAGGGATAAACAAGTTCAGGGGGGCATGGGGGGGAGAGAGACAGAGAGATAGAAAGAGAGAGAGAGAGAGAGAGAAGAAATAATGAAAATGAAGAGGAGATGAAAAAAAATCAAGAGGAGAAGTAGAAGAGGAGAGGAAGAGGAAAAGCAAAAAATTCAAGTTCCAAATCAATTAGATTTAATTTACAAACGCTTTATGATTTTTTTTTAAAGGTGCTCGTGTAAGAGCTCATGTGCCTCACTTTCCGTGGATAATCAACCCCAGGGATAAACAAGTTCAGGGGCGCATGGGGAGAGAGAAAGATATAAAGAGAGAAATAAAGAAAACAAAGAGAGAGTTGAGGGAAATACATAAAAGCAATACTAAAAAGGAAAAGGACAAGAAGAAATGAGGAGGAGAAGTAGAAGAGGAGAGGAAATGAGGATAAAACAAAAAATCTGAAGATTCAAATGTATTAAAATTTTATTTACAAGCGCCTTATGAAAATTAAAAGTTTTAAGTGCTCGTGTAGGGTAGCTCATGTGCCTCACTTTCCGTGGATAACCAACACCAGGGATAAACAAGTTCAGGGGGGCATGGGGGGAGAGGGGAAAAAAAGAAAGAAATAAAGAAATATATAAAGACACAAAAATATAAATTAAGAAGAAAGAAGGAGAAGAGAAGAGAAAGAAAAAGAGCAAAAACTTCAAGTTCCAAATCTATTAGATTTAGTTTACAAGCGCTTTCTGAAAATTGATTGTTTTGAGTGCTCGTGTAGGGTAGCTCATGTGCCTCACTTGCCATGGATAATCAACACCAGGGATAAACAAGTTCAGGGGGGCATGGGGAGAGAGATGAAACAAAAGAAAGAAATAAAGAAATATATAAAGAAATAAAAATATAAATTATGAAAAAAGAAGGAGAAGAGAAGAGGAAGAAAAAGAGCAATCCTCGAGTATATGCTTGTTTCGCTTGAGACATCCTCGACAAGCTTCTCGAATCGCTTGGGACATCCTCGCAGAATTGCTGGTTTCGCTTGAGACATCCTTGAAACATTGTTCGTTTCGTTTGAGCCTGCCTCCCAAAATTCTTGGTTTCGCTTGAGACATCCTCACAGAATTGTTGTTTTCGCTTGAGACATCCTTAAGAAACGTATCGTTTCGCTTGAGACATCCTTCAGTATATGCTTGTTTCGCTTGAGACATCCTCGAGTATATGCTTGTTTCGCTTGAGACATCCTCGACAAGCTTCTCGAATCGCTCGGGACATCCTCGAGTATATGCTTGTTTCGCTTGAGACATCCTCGACAAGCTTCTCGAATCGCTTGAGACATCCTCACAGAATTACTGGTTTCGCTTGAGACATCCTTGAAACATTGCTCGTTTCGTTTGAGCCTGCCTCCCAAAATTCTTGGTTTCGCTTGAGACATCCTGAAAAAAGTGTGATCGCTTCGCTTGATGTTGCTATTCAACATAACTTGATCTTGCTATCTCAACATAACGTTCCGAGGTGATAATGAAGTTTGGCCTCCGCGCCCCGCGCCCCCGACCAAACTCTTATTGGTCGACGATAAAAAACTCTAACGACTTAAGGGGGGGGGGGTACATTATTATCGTGGGCATGGGGTTAGACACGAATCCCAAGATGCCCTATGCTTTTCCGCATATCTTCTGAACGTCCGCTTTCCCCGCTGCTTCCCATGTTTTCCGATCCATTCCCAAGGATCGACGTTTCATTGTGTCCGCGTGTGTGCGTGTGTGCGTGTGTGTGTGTGCGTGTGCGTGCGTGTGTGTGTGTGTGCGTGTGTGTGTGTGTGTGTGTGTGTGTGTGTGTGCGTGTGCGTGCGTGTGTGTGTGTGTGTGTGTTTTCTGAACAACAACCTCTGCGGAATTTGGGTCGCCGCCGTCGGGCTCTGCCTGTCCTGGTCGGGCCCTGGGGCCATCTGGACCACGATCCGGGGCGAACCGCAGACCCCCTGGGGAAGGTGTGGAGAGGTCCTGGGTGGGGCCCCAATACCCATCGGTCGGAAGAAGCAGGTAAAAACATGCAGTAGGAAGGCGTTGAAACAAGATTGGGTGTCTGCCCGCCCCGTGAAGAGGACGGAAAAGGTGAAGCCATTCGATCATTGAAGTAGGAAGGCGCTCCAAGTAGACTGGAATCTGGGACTTCATAAATACCTACTTTCAGCGACCGATGGGTACTCAGAAGTCAAAGCATCGGAGGTCTGTGGGTCTCTATCCTCCTTCTCCTTCTTCATCATCGCTCCTCGTGCTCCTCGTCCTCCCTCCTCCATCCTCGGCCATCGCGCCTGGCGACTGGCCCGTCGCTGCCACGACGTCGATGCAGGAACAGTACGTAGCAGGCGCCATGGGCGCGTGACGGGAGAATGGGTTGGCAAAAGGGAGATAGAGACGACAACATTTGCGCGTGGGGTGCCAGTCTTGCGGTTGGGGACATTGCATTGGGATCAAGGTTAACATTGCAACATAAGCGAACCAATGCAAGGCACCAACCATGGTGCAGACTTCCACAAACATCCGACGGAACTGCAACCCAAATTAAAGGTCACGCCGCATCGCTGACGTCGAGCCTCCTCCGACCCCATCCATTCGCACCCTAGACACACGCACCTCGGGCTCCGTAACAAGCGCCAGGGTCGGGGGGGGGCGCCATCCCCACCCACAGCACCAGAACGACCCCCGTCGGGGGCTCGCCTGAGCAACCTCCTGTGGCCCCCCGGAAAAGCCGACCAGGGCCCCTGATCCGAAGGATGCCTGCAACCAAGGGCGCCCCAACGGGGGTGGCCGCTACGCACGTTCGTGTCGTGACGACCGGGTCTCTGATCTATGCCACCGCGTGGATCGTGAAACCTTGACCGGTCGAGTCTCTCGAAGGGTGCAGGTCGCTCAATGTTTGACGAATGGCGGCTGGCGACGTTCAACCTTGAAATCGACGGCGAGCCCAGGAAGAAAGGTACCCTTCTCAATCATTAGACGGCCCCCTCTGGGGCCCGAAAAAGCCCTCTTTAGGGGCCCTAGAAGGCGCCTTTTCGGCAGCCGTTCCTGCCCCCTCCCTTGCATCGCCCCCCCCACCAACCGCCCCCCAATTGGAGATCGATGCTTTCCCCGCCGGGTGGCGCGCCCGAGCTGGGCACGGACCGGCACTAGCTGCAAATGCTTCCGGAAACCGACACCGGCCGCTGTTGGGTAGGCGACCTTCATGGGACGCTAATGATGTCCCTTTTCGGAGTCCCGGAAATTTACTGTGTCGGGCTCTTCTTGGAAGGAAAACCGGTGCCCATTTTGGACCCTGAAGGGCCCCCGTTGGGGCCCGAAAGGCCCCCTCACGGGCCCTGGTAGGGGCGTTGGAAGGCCCCTTTTCGGCAGCCTTCGATGCCCCTCCCCCTGTGTCGCCCCCCTCTCCCATTACGCGACGCCTAATTGGGGATCGATGTGTTCCCCGCCGGGTGGCGCGCCCGAGTTGGGCACGTACCAAACGCGGCAGCAGATGTTGCTCAAAACCGACAGCGGCGGCCGCTGGGCAGGCGAGCTTCTTGGGACGATGGTGGTGTGTATGATAAGATTGGATCAGGACGCGGCCCAGAAAGTCCAAGCCAAAGTATCTCGTGGCCCTCCCTCGTTCTTGCAGCCCGTGTGGAACATTCGGGAATCTCGGGAGCCCTGAGAAACTTGGGACGCATCACTAATGTCAACTGGTGATTAATCGATCCGTGTGGGGCGCGCGTGTTTAACACAAACTGATTCCCTGCTCGGGCGGATCGCGGGGTGGCGCCCGCCAGCTTGAAAGGCAACGGCGGCGGCGCCCGTGATTAGCGCAGACGCCCAGCCGCCAGCGGGAAGGCGACAGACAGCACAGACTGGGGGAGGGGAGAGGGGGCGGGAGGCAAAGGCGGCAGAAGCAGGGACCGTGAGCCAAGGCGACACCTGTTCGAAATGAAGAGGACGTGCTGTCGGCGCTCCCCCCGCACCTTCCATGCTTGTTCTGTCGCGCCGCTACGTTTCCTTCGCCCTGGCCGCAACCAAGGGGGGCGCCTGCTGCCTAGCGGGCCCGCGAGCAAAGCGGGCTGGACGAAAAGGGGCCGGCCAGGCGGGGATTTGCCCAGCAGCTCACACTGTTGATTTTCCGAGCGCCCCCTGGCGCCGAAAGCAGCCATGTATCGAGGACTGGCCCCTCGGCGGGGCGACCGAAACCAGCTGCGCGCAGCAGGTTTCGCAACCTCCCTTTCCCTCCCCAACCTTTCGTCCGGCCCGAGCATGGCGGGCAGTCGTCCTCCCCCCCTTCTGTCGTGGTCTCTGTAGTCGTCGACGACGACGACGACGGCAAAGACGAGGACGAAGACGATGGCGAGGAGGACGAGGACGAGGACGAGGACGAGAAAGGACGAGAACGAGGACGAGGACGAGGACGAGGACGCGGACGACGGACGACGGACGGCGGACGGCTGACGGCGACGGCGGCGGGGACGACGACGACGCACTGCGGATGCCCGATGGTGTGTGTAGGTGTGTGTGTGTGTGCTGCGCAGGCCCACTGTAGTGTCGACGACGACGACGACGACGACATCGACGCCTGAAAGGCGGAAACAGATTCGCCTCGGATGTATACGACACCTATAACAACTTCTATACGATGGGCAACCACTTTGAGGCTGTCATGCAGGGGGGAAATTACACGATCCCCTCGGCTACGCCAGCGAGGACCCCTTGGCGAAGGTGCTTAGCAAAAACTGTTCTGCGCCCCGCGGGGTCTATTCATCAGCCCTTGGGGGGGGGCATTTGTTAATCACAAGCTGACATTATCATGACGTCTTGCTCCTCTAACTTCTGAGTCGAAAGGGCAACGTCCGCGGCGATACCGACAGCGAAGAGTGCCCATAATGGATCGGAGCAGCTCTCGGTCTTCATGCCGAATCTGTCCGTCCCTATTTCGATCGTGATTATCACCTTACGTTGTCCCTTACGTTGCCCCTGATTCACGGAGAGGCCAATTCGAACTAGATCCGAACTGAAGCCGGACAGATCCGTTGCAGGTGAGGTCCAGCGAACCTCGCTTTCGGCGTCGAGCGAGTGGGGAAGTGAGGAGGAGAAGGCCTTCTCAGAAGGCGGCCGGGCTTCTCAGAACCCTTCGCGCCTTCTGGGAGGTGTTTTGCCCGTGTCTCCTGGGGACGCTTAGAACACTTCCAAGAGGCCCGGGGACCTCCGAGCCTCCTGCAAAGGCCCGCCCCTTCTGACTTCCCCCCCTGGCTCGCCGCCGACACGCGACGCAGCCCCTGGCGCAGGGCGAGGCGGTCGCGCCGCGCGCCCTCTCGCAGAACTGAGGCCCGCGGGCGGGCGGTGCCGGCGGGCGGCCGCGCCTCGCGCGAGGCCCCCGTGGACGCGAATCAGACCGCCCCTGGCCGGGCCCGTCCTGGGCCCGGGAACGGGCGGCGCCTGCGCCCCCCCCCCCCCGCCGGGACTTGGCCAGGGAGGCATGGGCTCCGATCCAACACAACAACTCACGATGGGCCCGGCCAGGGTCCATTACAACAACTCACAATCCCAGACCCGTGATCTGTAGGATGTGGTATAGTGTTTGTGCTATTGGTGCGTGTGATCTTTCGCCGGTCCCGCCGGCTCGTCTTCGGAGTGGCCTGGGCAAAAGCAGCTAGGGTACGGCCCTCCCTCTTGCCAGCACGCGCGCGCAGGAGCGAGGAGGGGGGAGGAAGGAAGAAAGGACGCACCCGCATACCCAGGACGCACGAGAAGGATGCCAGGGCCTCTGGGAGGCCATGCCGGCACTTTGCGAGCGGGGCGCGGCCGGCGAAAGCGGCCAAGGATGGGCCGAAGGCGGGTAGATCTGTAGATCTGCGTCTGCTCCCCGACATTGTGCAGATCTGCGTCTCCTCCCCCATGTGCCGCCGATGGCCAGGTCCCGCCTCGTCTCCTGCCCAACATCTTCGCGCTCTCGCGCGGCCCCCTGGAGAGGCGCAACTCTCTGGACCAGGCTGCGACGCGCGAAGCGATGTCGTCCTAGCGCCCCGGTGGGCGAGCTGTGATTCGACGGTGCGCGGCGTGTGCCCTGGCTGCGTCTCTGCCTGCCCAACGCTGCGAGCAAGCTAGGCTGGACTACTCGTGGTGACAACCCTTGTGCTTATTGTACCCCCGGGAACTGGCTCCGCGAAAAACACACGTCGTGGACAGATGAGCGACGATCAAACACGTTTCTGACGCGTGTTAACATCGCGACCTTACGCGGTGGCTTACTCGGGCCGCCAGCGCGGCACGCCACATTGGAGACAAGGGCGCTTACGCGGGACATAGGGCGGGCAACTTACGCGCCACTGTCTGCGCAGACGATCCAGCTTTTTTGTTCGTCGCCCGGATGAGGTCGGAACATAATCTTCTGCGCCACTTCTCGAGCTGGACTGTCCCAGGGCCCAGATCGGAGCACAAATGGCCGTTCGCACCCCACCGCGGCGCGACAACGACGCCGCCAGCGCCGACCACGCATGGTCCCGGAGCTCCGCAGGCCGCGGGGCATGCACCAGCTGGCGGCGCCCGAAAGGGGGTGGCGCGAGGGGTGCTCTCCGAGCAGGCGACGGGGCTTCTACGAAGGCAGGGCGGCCTCTTCCAGGCCCGACCTGCTTGTAAGAAGCCTCCTTAGAAGCCTGCGGCGCCTTCTTGGAAGCCCCGCGCCTTCCATGAAACCCCGCTTTCTTCTTCGAGGACCGCCCACCTTCGAGCAGATACCGACCAGCCCGGCACTCCTATAGGCCTACCACGACATGTTCTTAGAGCCCCCAAAATGATCTAAGAAGAACAGCAACAACAACGTTCTCAGAACATGTGCCCGATGTGTTAAAACAGGACTGTCCCAACCAGACACGTTCTCAGAACATCTCGTACAGACCACCACAGGTTCTCAGAACATTCTCTGGTGGGCCTACGGGAAGCTTCGCCACTGCTTGACACCTGGCGCCACCCCTCGTGTGGGCAACGCCAGGCCAGCCACTTCTCCCTCAAGATATAGCCTGCCTCTGGTCTCCGTGACGCCTCAGCGCGCCAACCCCGCGGCGGGGCCGCCTTCATAATAGTGGTGTGGGGAGTTGATCTCGTACACGATGCGCTTCGCCTCGGCTCCGCGAACGATTGGCGGCGCGCCCAAGGGTGAAGGGGCCATGGGATAAACACAAATCCCCGGATTCCCCGCATTTGTCTATCGGAGGTTGGGGGGTGAGAACGAAGTGGAACGGAGAGCCCCCCACTGGGAACTCGGTTTCGGTTTCGTGTTCGTGCGTGCCGTGCGTGCGGGCGAGGCGAAGCTGCGTGGGCGGGCGAGAGGAATTTCTTCTGTGGCTGAGGCGCGGCTGGACCAAATGATTCGCCCTCCGGCAAGCGGTGGCCCGCGGTGTCCCGCCGGTGTCCCGCTTGTGGCTGGGTCCCGGCCGGACCAAATGATTCTCCCTCCAGCAAGCGGTGGCCCGCGGTGTCCCGCCGGTGTCCCGGTGTCCCGCTGGTGCAAAAACGATAGTGAGACCGATGACGAAATCGATTGTGAGATCGATAGTGAGATCGATAGTGAAACCGATAGTGAGATCGATCGTGAGATCAATAGTGAGATCGATAGTGAGACGAATAGTGATATCGATTGTGAGATCGATTGTGAGATCGAGTGATATCGATAGGGAGATCGATAGTGGGATCGATAGCGAGATCCAGAGTGAGATCGACAATGAAATCGATCTAGTGAGATCGATAGTGAGATCGGTCGAGTGAGATCGATAGTGGGATCAATGGTCCCAAGAGCGAGCGGAAACGTAACAATCACCACTGTTGCCCATTGCTGGCACCCCTCCCCCCCCAACCTCCTTATCACCCGCAGGGTGGTCGTATAGGTATTTTATGGGTTTTCGTCTTCCCACCCACCACTTCCCATATTTTCCTGGGGGTCGACGATGTATTGTGTATGTGTGCTTTTTCCTCTCCTGAGGGGGGTGGGGGGAGGGGGGAAGGCTTCCTAGAAGGAGGCTGCTCCTTAGAAGGCGCCAGCCCTACATACTCTGACAAGGCCCGCGCCCTGAATGGGCCCTGGAAACGACAGGGCCGTTTTTATTACTGGCTCCGTTTTGCAATTTTTGTTTCTGGTTCCTACGCCGTTTTTTTTATCGGCTCCGTCGCCGTTCTTTTACTGGTTCCCGCTCCGGTTCCAACCCTGGAGCCGTTTTTGTTGCCGTTTCCGGTCGCCTTTTTTGCCGCTTCCATTTTCAAGGCACACTTTTCCGGAAGCGGTGAAAAAACGGCCCTGCCGTTTCCGGGGCCCACTAGGCCCGCGCCTTCCGAGAAGCGGGGGTGCTTCTAAGAAGCCTTCCCCCCACCTAGTGAAAACGACCTGAGGCCCAAACCTGGCGGGCGCAAGCCTGGTGGGACCGCGGCGCCCCCTCGAGAGCCGAAAACGGATAATTCACTAATCGACGTGTCACTGTTGGGGGTTCTGTCCGCCCCCCCCTTGTGCGCGCCGCCAAGGCGAGTGCCCGCACGCCGGCGGCCGAAGAGCGGCCAGCCAAAACCGAGGCTCTGGGGTGCCCCTGGCCCCTGGAAGGCCTCGGGGTTCCAAGACGGCGGCAGACCGCGCGGCGACCTGGAACACCGAGAAGACCCCGCCGCACGGTCTGTCGCCCCAGCCGCCCGAGACGTCGTCGGAGAACGATCCCAGTCCCAGAGCAATGCGGCCAGCCAGCCCGAACCCGCACTGTTGGCTAGGCGTAAGAGTGTGACGTTGGAGTTTTTTTTTTGGCTAGGCGTAAGAGTGACCCTGGGTAAGAGTGAGCCTGGTGCGCAGCTCTTGGGGGCGCGAGGGAGCCAAGCCCAAGGGCGCGGGCCGCTTATGTCGCATCGCGCTCGGCGATCGGGGGGAGCCCGATGAGCCCGCACCAAAGGTCACTCCGGCGAAAGGTCACTCTTACGTGGAGTCGACACTGGCTCACCACACGGTGGGGTCACCGCACCGCTTGGGGGCCCCGCGGCCTCCGGGAGGCCTCTGGGAGGCCTCCGGGGACCTCCAGAGGCCTCGGGAGACCACCGGGGTGAAGTCGGGCGTGTCCCTCTACAGGAGGGATACACGTCGGTCGGAAGAAGTAGGTAGAACAATAAAGTAGGAAGGCGGATATAGTTGATTGGGTCCAGGATCTCCCAGAGAATAACAAACCACAGCAAAAGCCTGTCGATTCTTGAAGTAGGAAGGCGTTTGAAGTACACTTGGGATCTGGGAATCCAAAAATACCTACTTTCAACGACCGGCGGGTATTCAAAGCAAACTCGTCCAAGATCCGCCTGTAGGAGGAGACGCCCGACCTTACACAAGGGCGATGGCAGGGGCTGTCCCCAATGACCATCCTGAGTTGTTTTTTTTGCTCGGGGTCCCGGGGCCCGTGGGACAGGGAGCCCACAGAGGATGTCCACACCCAGCCACGTACATGAACACAGCCCCCCAGTCTGCGGGGCCAGCCTCGTATTAGAAACGTTCGCGCAAAGCGTACCCTCAAGACTGACGCGGATTCGTGTACGTGTCCGTCCTTCTTCCGCTCCTGATCCACGACCCGTCTCTGCGGGACGGGAAAATGACTACGGCCATTACTTCTTGTTTGCTCCGCCTTCAGCCGGCCGAAAAAGAAGCAGTGGTTGTGGTCATTTCCCTGGTGCCAAGCTCAACGAAAATTACCACAACCACTGCTTTGTTTCTGCAGGCTGGAAGGCGGCAACAAAAGAAAAGCAGTGGCTGTGGTCGTTTTCACGCCCCGTAGTCTCCTCGGGACACGCCTGCCCCACGGCGGGGGACGGGGGGCCGCTGCTTCTGCGCCGTTCCGCACGACCGACGCCGAACCCAGAACTCCGCGGTCGTGCTTTTGCCTTCCGAGGCCGGCTCTGCGCCCCGAGAAGTTTGTTGGAGGTCCCGGGTCCCGCCGAAGGCCCCCCCAAGCCGAAGATTCTCACAGAAGAAGAAGACACAGCATAAACAGAAACTTTTAGCGTTCCGCGCTCATTTCTTGGATCTGCGCCGACCCCGGGGCGGCGGCGGAGGCGCCGCCAGGGGGGTGCAACGCAGATCCAAGAAATCCGCGTGGAGCGCGAACAGTTTCTGTTTACGCCGTTTCTTCGATGTCAGCAGCATGGCTGGACCTAAACGCTGTCTTTCGTCTTGCTCTATCCGTTGTCCTGCACCTCCCTCCCAAAACGAAAAACAACACCCAGCCGAAGTCCAGCGAAACAGCGCTTAGGTCCAGCCCTGGTCAGCAGCCTCTCGTCGTGACTTCTTTCCACGACGCGAGGTGGGGGGCAGCCTCCTCCTCCTCCTCCTCCTCCTCCTCCTCCTCGGCACCGCGCAGGGCCTCGAGGGCACTCCGCCCGAGCGGCCGCCCAGGCGGGGCCGCCGGGCACGGCGCCCGCGGGGCCGTGCCGAGAGGCCCTGCCCCACGTGGCCGCGGGTGAGTCTTTGGAGTCCTCCTCCTCCTCCCACTCCTTCTCCTCCTCCTCCTTCTCCTCCTCCTCCTCCTCCTCCTCCTCCTCCTCCTCCTCCTCCTCCTCCTCCTCCTCCTCCTCCTCCTCCTCCTCCTCCAAGGGGTGGGGGAAGGCGAGGAGGGAACGCTCAGGAAAATTCTGGAGTCCCGAAGCGGTGCGGTGACACACCGTGCGGTGACCTCGAAATCCCCCAAGACCTCACCGCACGGTCCGTCACCGCACGGTTTTGGGACCCTGGAGGCCCCTGTCGCCCGAGACGACAGAGGAGGGACCCGAGTCCCAAAACCGTGCGGTGACCCCGAATCCCCACCGACTCACCGCACGGTGTGGTCACCGCCCCGTTTGGGGGCCCCCGAGAGTCGGCGGGTGTCGACATTTCTTGGGGCCCCAGGGTGGCCGGGTACAGGGGAGGCCCGACCACAAGAAACCTCCCACAAGAAGCCCAACCCTGAGACCCCAGGGCGTCCATTGGGTTTTGGCGTGGGAACGCCACGCTTCCCACGGCAAAGCCATCGGAACCCAAGGAACCCAGGGCATCCTGGAGGCGAGCAGGGTGTTTCTCGGCCTGGGCCTCCGCTGTATATCCATGACAGCCACGGCCTGCCGAGGTCCCCAGGAGCCAGGTCCCGCGGGCGGTGGTCAGGGATACACCCCCGCCTCGCAGTCTGCCGCGGGGTCCCCGATGGGAAGAGCGGGGGCAGGAGAGCTCCAAACAACACGCCACCAGCAGCCCTGGCCAGGCCCATGGGCCCGGGATGGGCCTGGCCAGGGCTGCTGGTGGTGTACTGTTGGCGCCCCTCCGAAGGAGCCACCCCGCTAGGCAGCGCTGACGGACAGCGGAGCGACAACTTTTCAAAGCCGAGCTTGGGGCAGAACGTGGCCAGTGCCGGCAGCGGGGCGGCGGCGGCGGGGGACCTCTCGAGGCGCGGGCGGCGAAGCCCTGCATTCGCTCTGTCCCTTCCCGCCTGCTTCGTCCCGCCGGCCCTGGCGTTCCGCCTGCGCGCTCGCCGTCGTACAGTCACTCCGTATAAGAAGGACGCACGATAGGGATGCAAGGGCCCTGGAAGGCCATGTCGACACTTTGCGAGCGGGGCGCGGCCAGCGAAAGCGGCCAAGGATGGGCCGAAGGGAAAGGACGCAAGTGTAACCTTGGAGACCTGCTCATCCTTACAATGCGGGTTGCCTGTGCGCTTGCTTGTCGTTCCCTTCCTCCCTCTCCGTCGCCGCGCAGCACAAACTGCCCGGAGCAGGCGGCGCTGGCGCGATAGGCTGGAGGACACCGTGGCCCGCACTCCTCCTCCTCCTCCTCCTCCTCCTCCTTCTCCTCCTACTCCTCCCCTCCTCCCCCTCCTCCGCCTCCTCCCCCTCCTCTTCCGCCTCCTCCGCCTCCGCCTCCTCCGCCGAAAACGCACGAGCGCTCGAGAAACGGTCAGATCCCTCAGCAGCCGTGCGCACGACCTCTGACTCGGACCGTCGAGCACGAACTGCCCCACGCACGCCACGCACAGCCGCGCCGGGCGCGCCTCCAGCCGCAAGCCCAGACCTCCAACGCACTGATAAACATTAAGGTGGAGATGCTTCGCCGTTTTCGGCCGCTGTGGGCCCTCGCCAGGCCCTGGGGCTGTTAGAAAACGACTCAGACCGAGACGAGGGTTCCCAAGAAGGGGTCGAGACTTTCGGGGACCTCGCGTTGAACAAGTCCTTAGCGGACGACAGATGGAACACAATACACGGTTCCGCCGTCGGGGACGCCTGTCACAGGGCGGCTGGAAAGCTCATACCCATACTGTGGCATGTCAGGGTAGAAGACTCTCCAGCCGCCCTGGGACAGGCGCAACCGACGGCGGACAAGTTTACAGTCTACCCGTATGATAAGGTCTTGGAGGGCCATGTTGACGTTTTTCGCACGAGGTCGGTTAGCGAGAATTGCCAGGGATTGGCCGACGGGGCAACGATGCAAGGGTCATCCTTGCAGTGCGGGTTGACTGTATGTTGCACCGTTCTTGGCGGCGCACACATGGGGGCAGGTGGAGGGGGGAGGCTTGTTGAAAGAGGTTGCTTCTTAGAAGGCGCTGGCCCTACATCTACAGAGAAGACCCGCGCCTTCTGAGAAGCAGGGGTGTTTCTAAGAGGCATTCCCGCCTCCCCCTACCCCCCTCTGCACGTGACCGACCGTTCTTCGCCTGCTACGAGTCAAGACATCGGATCGCTGGAAACTGGCCTGGCGGCAATGGGGAAAAACATGCAGCGACCGAGAGGCCGAGAGCCACAGGCCACGATGTCTCGCTGGGGGGACCTGGCGAGGGGATCCCGCCAGATCGGCAACAAAAAAAACAAGGTGTGCTCAGCGGACCCAAAGACGAAACGAGGACGAGGATAAATCGGGTGAGGATGAATCGAGAATCTCAGAAACCCGGAGGCTCTGGAGGATGCATCGGGCGCCGCGGCCTTCTCGGAGCGTTACGGAATGGTCTGAGAGCGTTCTGGAACGCTCTGGAACGGATTTATCCTCGTCCTAGCCCCGTCCAATAAAGGAGCTCACCTCAACCCAATTCGGCGTCTGCAAAAGGGGTGGTGGATTGCAAAAGGTGTGGTTTGCAACCGGCACCCTGGGGGGCGGGCGGGGACCTCGATGGAGTTCTCCGCTGCGCCCCGAGGCGTCCCGACGAGGACAATGTCGTGCTCCCCAGGCCCCAACGGTGCCGATCGCAAACCTCACCCCGGCATAACCATACCCTTTGTAGTCGCCGACCACTGGATGCAAACATCGTCGGAGGCTCTACGCCGGTCGCCACGATCTTCGTCTGGATCCTGCCGCCCTCGATCCAAAAATACAACCATGTCTGCGGCACCCATTTGGCATTCGAACATGGACTCTTGTTGCCGATCAGCCTTGGGCCGTCTGCGGCGGTCTTCTGACAGTCTTCGGCGGTCTTCTGACGATCCTCGGCGGTCTTTGGCGGTTTCCGGCGGTCTTCGGCGCGAAGGCTGGGTGGGCTTGTTCAACAAGGGGTCCATGATCGAACACCTAGCCGACATGATCTTTTGTGGTTGTGGCAACCGCAAGGTGCCAAATACCGTGGACATCCCGACAGGGTCCGAAAGGAGGGAATGGAAGTGGAGGGAGCGGAGGGGAAAAACAGGGAGACACGATGACCTGGTCCGAGATTTTTCGGCTGTGGACAAACCTCCCTTTAGTAAACCTCCCCTTAGTGAAAACGGCCTGGGATCGAAACCGACGGACCTGGACCAAAAATGACGGCCGCGACGCCCTCTCGCGAACCGAAAACGGCCAATTCCTTAATCGACGTGTCAGGGTAGGAGGTCTATCCACCTCCGAATTTTGCGCCACGTCCTGCTGCATCCGCCGCTCCTCAAAACGCTTGGATCGGAAACCGCTGCGAGGAGGGGGCCTGGAGCATCCCAAGCGACTGCACGAATGCTGAAACGCGCTTTCGAACACATGAGGAGTAACGTCAAGGTTACGTCGGGCCTGTCATCCTGCAGGCGGATTTTGAAAGGCAAGTAAAACATAACCAAACAGTTCTTAATAAGAGTCAGAAGAGCACGAACATCGCCCCCGACTATGTGTTCACCGTTCTTGCATAATCCTCCTGTGGAAGGACATGCCCGACTTAACGTTCAGGGACGGGGACCAGCTTAGGGGGGAAATCTGCCGACCCCGGCTTGCCACGACTGAGCAGCTGTGTGAAGAAAATGCCACCGAGAGGCTCCATTGGGGCCCCCAAGCAATTCCCAGGAGGCCCACAAGAGTCTCCAAATACAGTCGACCCGTGTCATGAGGACGCACCCGAGATAAGGACGCGAGGGCCTTGGAAGGCCGTTTTCGAAACTTTTCGAGCGGGGCGTGGCCAACGAGAGAGGCCAAGGATGGACCGAGGAGGCGAGGATGCCAGGGTATCCTTAAGAAGGTTGCCCATCCTCACTGTGCGGGTGGACTGTATTGCCCAAGAAGCCCACGACACCTCATCCGTGGACTTCCCGCTTCTTCTGGGGGTCGACAGAATGATGTACACGTCGGTCGGGAGAAGTAGGTAAAAACATTAAGTAGGAAGGCGGATAGAGTATAGTGTGCTCGGGCCCGCCCAGAGAATGGCAGACCACAATAAAATAATATCGATTCTTGACGTGAGGAGGCGCTCGCACAAATCCCAGGATTCCCCCATAAGTTGCAAAGATCTCCTGGACTTTCGTCTTCCCCTCCATCTCCCATGTTTTCTCATATGTTCCATGGGATCGACGATTATCTGTGTCTGTGTGTTTCTTTCCCTCCTGAGCATCCCCCTGAGCCTATCCTAGCCTGAAGCGGAGGCAGGACCAGACAATTTCGGGTGAGGATAAATTGAGAATCTCTGAGATCTTGCATCTCTGGAGGATGTCTCGCGCGCTGCGGCCTTCTCAGAGCGCTTCGAAACGCTCTGAGAGAGTTCCGGAACGCTCTGGAACGGATTTGCCCTCGTCTTGGCCCCGTCTGGCTATCCACCCCTGGAGACAAGCTGTGCGCACTTCTCGCTGCGGCTAGGAGCGCCGCTGGATTGACCATGTCCGTGGCCACGATGTCCAACAGGAAGGGCCCGCACAACGCGCCGTTCTGGGCGGCGGTAAATGTTCAAGGGCAGAAGAACTACGACCACCACCAAAAACAAGAACAGTCCATCAACGTCCCCGAATCGGAACACCGCAAAAAAAAGCCGACCTCGGTGCACGGAAAAATCATAATGACCTCATGGTCGTCGCGCAACTGCCAGAATAACCACCCTAGTCGTAAGCATCCCGACAAGCGAAGCCCAGTAGTAGAGGCCTCCCTCATGGGGTCCGAGTAGATGGGGTCGAAAAATCGTGCTGCAAAACCGATGCATCGGCGATGCGCCGCGATCCTCCGACCCCGTTTGCTCTGACCTATCTGAGATGCCTAGAGATGCTTGACCGCTCGTCACTCAGACAGCAAGCAGGGGTCTGGTCACCGTCGCCAATCGCGGTCACAAGCGCCCACGACGGCGAAAGAACCGAACCGAACCAGACCGACCTGACGCCGACATCGAAAGTGGATCAGCCGAAATGGAATATCACATGCAGCGCCGAGGGACGCAGCGACGCGACGGCCGACAGAAATGACCAGGCCAAATGCAGCCGACTGCGGTGCAGCCGACCAGGCCGAGTCGCTGACACCGTCGGCTGACAGCGGTTGGTGTCCTCATCGTCTCGGGCCCCCTTTGGAAGAAGAAGGATCATGAGCATCGTTTGACCGATCCCTGTCCCCATGGGCGTGGCCTGGGTCACCCTGGCCGGTTTACACCCCTGAGATGTGGATATGTGCGGGTTCCTTCAGGCTTCGAAGGGTACATTCCCAACGGAGGCGGTGGGATGGGGAGGGTCGCGATGGGAAAGATCGGCAGCTGACGGCGCAGCGGGAAGAGGAGGAGGGGGAGGAGGAGGAGGAGGAGTAGGAGGAGGAGGAGGAGGAGGAGGAGGGGGAGGAGGAGGAGGAGGAGGAGGGATGGGGATCGGTTGAAGGATAATGAGGTAAGAGATCCGAAGCAGCACGAGCATGGACTTGCGGCGCTGGACCCCCTCCTGGGCGAGCGAAGCGCCGTGGGGCGCCGCCAGGGGGGGGGCGTACGGCGCAGTGCCGATCCGAGGAGCCCGCGCGGACTTCCAGGAGCTCGCGTCTTCAACATGACCTTCTGTCAGCGACACTTGCGATGGGTACGAAACCATGCAGCCAGGGCCCAGAACAAAGAACTGGATACACTTTGTGCACATGCTCGTCTTGTTCCCCCGTTGTCTCGGGCGAGGGATGGGGGGGGAAGGCTTCTGAGGAGGAGCCTGTTTCTTAGATGGCGGAGAAGGCCCGCGCCTTCTGAGAAGCAGGGGTGCTTGTACAGTGGAGCCAGTACACAAGAAACCTTCCACAAGAAACCCAACCCTGAGACATGAGGACGTCCATGGACTTTTGGTGTGGAAACGTCACGCTTTCGATAGCAAAACCATCGGAACACAAGAAACTCACGGCACCCTGGAGGCAAGCAGGGTGTTTCTTGGCATGGGCCTCCTCTGTAAGGAGCCTTCCCCCCCGCCCCCTTGCCCCCTTGTGCGCGTGGCCGACCGTTCTTCGCCTGCTACAAGTCAAGACATCGGATCTCTGGAAACGGACCTGGCGGCCATGGGGAAAGACGTTCGGCGGCCGAGAGGCCCAGGGTCACAGGGCGCGATGTCTCTTCGGGGGGCACTCGCCGAAGCGGACCCCGCTGGATCGGCAAGAAGAAACGCAAGGTGTGCCCAGCGGCCCCAGAGTAAGACGAAGCCAAGGCGAAGACACCATCGGGTGAAGGCAAATCGATGAGATCTGGCGGCTCCGGCAAACGTCTCGGGCGCCGTGGCCTTCTCGGAGCGTCCTGGAACGCTCTGAGAGTGCTCCGGAACCCTCTGGAACGGTTGCATCTTCGTCCTAGCCCCGCCCGACAGAGGAGCTCCACCTCGACCCAGTTCGGCGTCTGCGCGTGCCCGAGACCGAGCTTTCAAGGGGTGTGGCCCTTTTCCAAAGAAGAGAGGACGAAGAGGAGGAGGACGAAGAGGAGGAGGAGGAGGAAGAGGAGGAGGAAGACGAAGAGGAGGAGGAGGAAGAGGAGGAGGAGGACGAAGAGGAGGGGCCCGCCCCCGCCCCGAGGCCTCGTGCTCTTCGACGGCGCCGAAGGCCGGGGAGGGGCCCCCCCGGCGGCCGACGGCCGCTGCAGAAGCCCGCCGCCGCTCTTCTATGCACGACGCGCGGGCGTCAGGGTAGCTGCACTGAGCGGGGGGCGCTTCTCTCCTGACTACCTATCAGACCACCCCAACTCAACCCGAAGACCCGAATTTGACCCCAATTTCGGGTGGGTAGTGACCTCCACCTCCGCCTTCAATGTCTTCCGACCTCCGCGGAAGGCGCGGAAGAATTCATCGAAACGCATGGAAGCCTTACGTAGCTCAAGGACACCAACATAGACCATGTCGAACAAGGAGCGGATGGTTAGGGCGGAAGGCCTGGAAGAATAATGGGTACCGTTCGAGCCCTCCACCCCAATATGGCCCCGAGAACCCGCCAGAGGCATCCAGGGCGTCCCCTCCGAGGGGTCCCCCGAGAGGCCCCCGCCTCCAAGAAACCCTCCAAATGGCCCCCGAACGGCATCCCAAGAGACCCCAACATGTACGGCCAGACCTAAGACAGAAAAACCTCCTTCAGGAACATGAGCCCCCCTGCCGGCCAACACACAGAGCATCCAAGGGTACCCTCCCCAGGATGCACAAAAGCATCCAACAGGCACGAAGAACATTAGGGCACCCTCCCCGAACCGACCCGGTCGGGGTTCTGCCGACCCGGGTCAATGCAAACCTGGGTCAGACAGGCTTTGCGGGGTCTTGCGCGGCAGCCCAGGCCAGTGCGGCCCTGGCTCTGCAGGATCCTGCGGGCTCTGGCGCTGTGGCCTGCCCCCCGTTTGCACTGACCCTCGCCTCGAGGCTCCCGACAGGGTCGCCTTTTGACGGCCCCGGGGCCGGGGGAGGGCCCCCGGAGGCCCAGAGTCGTGATCTTGAGCCACAAGACGCGGCAGAATCGGCTACACGCAAGAGTGACCCTGGCTAAGAGTGACCTTTGGTGCGCGGCTTTTGGGGGGCCGCGGGGTGACCAAACCTGGGCGCGCAAGCCGCTGCTCCTGCTTCGTTTTCAGCCATCTGGGGACCCATCTGTGCCCGCACCAAAAGTCACTCCAGCGAAAGGTCACTCTTACGCCCAGTCGACATAAGCGGCGGAGTTCATGAACTCGGCGGTCCGCGCGGATTTTGTGGATCGGTGCTGGACCCCCTTCCCGGCGCGCGGAGCCCGCCAAGGGCTGCGCTGGAGGCGCCGCCAGGGGTGGTCCAGCGCCGATCCAGGAAACCCGCCGGAGCGTCAGCAGTTTATGTTCAGGATAGGGGGTGGGAGGAGGAGGAGGAGGAGGAGGAGGAGAAGGAGGAAAAGGAGGAGGAGGAGGCACTCCAAAGGCCGCCCTCCTCGTGTACGATGCCGAGGTGCGTGAGGCAGGCGCTCACGTCCCTGCCGGGAGGGGGGGTGCACCCGAGGCGCACGAGCCGCGCCGCATCTTGGCGCAAGGCTTAGGTCGGGCGTGTCCTCCTACAGGCGGATTTCGGACGAAAGATGAAAATAGTCAAAACATTCTCAGAAGTCGTAAGAACTAGTCAAACAAATCCCCAGACTGACCTCATCAAACTATTAAGGACCCCCCCGGGGTTATCATTAGCACCGCACCGTAATTCAATAATTCTGGGGGGCGGTTTTCGCCAAACGATATAGTTAGCACCACGCAATTGAAAGAACACAGAAAACTCCCGTGCCCTGGCTCGGGTGATATCCAAATTGGAATTGGAATAATAACACTAAGAAAGTGAAGCAATAGAAACTAATAATACTAGTAATACTAATTTATCAGACAAAAAACTAAAATATGAAACGAGTGAGGGTGACAAGTATAACAATAAAAATAATAATGACAGTAATAATAATAATACTAATATTCAGAATCATAATAAAAATGCTGATGCTAAGGCTACCAATCATATTAATAATGGTAATAATGATGATACTCATAATCGTAATCAAAAAATGATCCTGAGTTTTTTCTCATTATCTTCATCATCCTTGTCCTACACGATTTGTGTTACCACCCCTGTTGAACAATGTTCTTTCCCGGCCATCGTGTAAGGTCGTGCATCCGAGGATATCGCCCCCGCCACGCACGGCGCGTTATCTTAGCACCGCACCCGCACAAAATAATTACGGCAGCTTGTCAAACAAGACGAGAAGTACAATAATACCAATAATCAGAATAAGGGTAAAACTAAGAACACTACTACCCCGAACAATATAATAAGAAGAAGACTAACAATGACAATAACAATAAGGCAGGAAATACACATAACAATAAGGACACGAGTAAGATACTTAATAGTAATGGGAGTCATGATAAGACCACGACTGATGTGAAACATAATAATAACCATACCTAAAAAGGATGCGGATAACAATAATACAGCATACGACTACGAATAAGAAAAATCCAAATACTAATAATATCAAGAAAACATATTGCGAACAACAACAAGAAAACTAATACGAATGCTAATAAGGATACGGGTAATGAGTAATACTAATAGCCAGTAGTAGTAATAGTAAGAATACGAATAACAACAATGATAAGAATCATAGTCCGAATAATAATACTGATAATAATAAGAGAAATAATCAGACTAATACTAATAATGATGAAACTAAGAATTATAATAATCGCAATGTGAATCAACGTTAGAATCATAACAGTAATCAATAAACAAGCACAAAGCACAAAGAAATCACAATGTGAATATAAACAATTATCCATATTAGAAAGTTAGTGTGTATAAACACAATTAACAATAACAATAATCACAACATATTTTGGCCTCATTATCTTCATCATCCTTGTCCTATACGATTTGTATTGCCACCCCTGTTGGAACATTGTTTTTTCCCGGCCGTCGTGTGAGGTAGTGCATCCGAGGATATCGCCCTCGCCACGCACGGCGCGTTATCTTAGCACCCGCACCGCCAAAATTATTCGCTCCCCATCGTAGGCACGGACGGTTCCTTTTCAAAGCTGGGCTCTCCCTTGCGTGATACTAAATGTTGTTATTGTTGGTGTTGGCGTTGCTGGTGTTTTTGATGTTGATGTTGTTGTTGGTGTTGTGATTGGTCTTGTTGTTCTATATGTAAATCCTATTGCTGGCATTATTGTTGTTCTTCGTGTTATCGCCGTGACGAAAGGAAGCCTTGAGGAGGAGGAGGAGGAGCAGGAGGAGGAGGAGGAGGAGAGGGATTTGTTCTGTTTAGCTGGGCCAAAACCTCTTGACTGAAGCCTTGGCCCTCGGCTTGATCCGTAATGAGGAATAAGAGCCTCCATTTTGCGAGAATGTCTCTGGCGGTGTGCTTGTTTCGGCGAGCAGACTCGTCTGCGTTCACAGAAAAGTGCGAGGTGCCAGGGTAACGTTTCTGGGGTGCCGGGTGCGCTATACTTTCGCCGGAGAGGGGGGGGGTCCTTAATTGCTTCTCCGGGTTATTGTTTGTTTACTGTTTTTGAATATTCCTCCCGTAGAGGGACACGCACGACTTAATAACGCAAGGCCCATCCTGTCCACAGGATCGGGCGTGCTGACATCTGACATACGTGGCCAGACCTGCCTGGCGTCCATCTGGAGCATCTTCCCCAGAAGAAAGCCTCCGAGACCGCCAGCAAGCCCCCAAGGGGTCCCCACGAGGCCCCGAAGGCCCCGAAGACGCCCCCGAGGGCCCCCAGAGACCCCACGAGACCCCCAAGTGCCACCACGAGGCCCACGAGAGGCTTCCAAAGGAACCCCAACGGGCCTCCCAACGACCCCCAAAAAAGCCTCTTGCCCACGACCCCAGTCTGGCCGAAGGCCACTCAATGCCACATACAATATGGGCTGGCGGAATGAGCGAAGCGATCCTCCGGCTACTTCGTGTTACATTTCAACCTCATGATCTGCAAAGACTGTTTCTCGTAGGCCTTCATCTGATTTCTTCTCGCCGGCCTGCCTCTCTGAGCCTCTCAGCCCCTCCTGGGGTCCTCCCTGGGGACAACTCATTCCGCCAGGCCGAAGGCCTGAGGTGCGGCCGGGGCGGGGCGCCCTCTGGCCATCCTTCCCGTCCCAAACCGGCCCCGTTCCAGGTGGTGCTGGTTTGCTGGGCGCCGCCGTGCCCTCTCAGAAACCTCGCTGGGAGCCTCCCAGGCTGGTCTTTTGGAGCCTCTCGGGGCCATATCATTCGAGCCACTTCAGGCCTTTCTGGATGCCTCTACACCTTCGTTAGGGCTGAAAAGACCTGCAAACTCCAGTGAACATGACACCACATAGGTTTTTGATGATTCCAGCCGTCTCGGGCTTACTATTGCGCCTCTCTTGGGGCTCCCGTACACATCTCCCCGGGCTCTTCTTTCCATCTCGGAATCTGCGGTTACTCGCTGCGGCCGTCCTGACTGCCTCTCACCCCCTTCCCGAGCTCTCTGGGCGCCTTCTGAGCGGTTTTTCGGTCGCCCAGGGCGCCCCCAGAGAGCCCCTGGGAGCCTTTCCAAAAGCAAACGCTGAGTCGGGATGTTTTCTTCTCTCTCCCGTTTCTCGGGGCCGTCTTGGAGACCTCTTCGGTCGTCTTGCGGCGTCGGGTTAGGCATCGGCGTTGGTGCTGGTGTCGGGGCTGGCGTCGGTGCTGGGGTAGGCGTTGGCGTCGGTGAAGGCATAGGCACAAGCGTGGGTGCTGGTGTCGGTGCTGGCGTCTGCGCTGGCGGTGGTGCTGGCGTCGGAGCTAGGGAGTCGGAGCAGGGGAGTCGGAGCTGGGGATAGAAGTGATGGGTGGCACACTCGTTATCCCATGGGGAGGGATAAGACGCCGGGAGCAGGGTGTATTTGACCGCGGGTCGAATGCAGGTGAAGGCGCTGGCATTGGTGTCGGGTAAGGAGTCGGCTTCGGTGCTGGCGTCGGTGCTGGTGTAGGCGCTGGCGTCGGTGAAGGCATAGGCACAAGCGTGGGTGCTGGGGTCGGTGCTGGCGTCTGCGCTGGCGTAGGCGCCCGCGGTGGTGCTGGCGTCGGAGCTGGGCGTCGGGGCTGGGGAGTCAGAGCTAAAGATAGAACTGGTGGGTGGCGCACCCGTTATCCCTTTTGGTGGGATAAGAATCAGCCGGGAACAGGGTTCATTCGACCGCGGGTCGAATGCAGGTCAAGGCGGCATTGGTGTCGGGTAAGGCGTCGGCGTCGGTGCTGGCGTCGGTGCTAAAAGCGTTGGTATACGTCGTGCTGCGCATCCGCCGTGCTGCCCATGGTGTCCCGCGTGCTCGTCGACCTGCAGCTCTTGGTATCCGTCGTGCTGCGAGTGGTATTCGTCGTGCCGCTGGTGCAGGTGCTGGCGTTTGTGCTGGCGCAGGTGCGGAAGTCTGTGTTGGCATCATTGCAGGCGTCGGCGCTGGCGTTGGTGCCGGCGCCATTGCAGGCGTTCCTGCTGGCGTCGGTGCAGGCATCGGTGCATGTGTAGGCGTCGGCGTTGATGCTGGCGTCGGTGATGACATCGGTGCTGGTGGGTGTAAGCGCTGGCGTTGGTGCTGACGCAGGCGCTGGCGTTCGTGCTGGCGTCGGCACTGGTGTAAGTGAAATGGAGAGTCGAACATGGTACATGTGAGTGGCACGTGCTGGAGGAATCATGGTAGCGCTGGATCTCGGTGCTGGCATCGGTACTGGTGCCGACGTCGGCGTACTATAGTTTGCGCACCAGTCGGGCGCCCTTGTCTTGGTCAACCTTGTCCTCGCGGCCATGCTTGATTAATGATTCCTCTGGTGCGTTGTCGTCAGATGGCCTGCGTTGGTGCTGGAGTCGGTGCTGACGTCGGTGCTGGTGTAGGCGCTGGCGTGAGTGCCGGCGTCGTAGGTCCAAGCGCTGATGATGGCGAGGGTGCTGGTGTCGGAGCTGGCGAATGCGCCGGGGCGGGGCTGGGGCCGGTGTTGGCCTCTGCGCTGGTGTAGGCGCTGGAATGGGTGGCGGCTGGAGGTTGGTAGGTGGAGGTGGGGGTGGGAAGACAGCGGGAAGAGGGCATTGGGAAGGGCTGTGGGGTCAGTCGGGCGCACTTGTCTTGATCAACCGTGTCCTCGCGGCCATGCTTGATGAATGATTCCTCTGGTGCGTTGTCGTCAGATGGCCTGCGTTGGTGCTGGAGTCGGTGCTGACGTCGGCGCTGGTGTAGGAGCTGACGTTGGTGCAGGCCTTGTAGGACATTTGTTGGGTCCACGTGTGGTGCTATGCCTGGCGCCCTCAGTTTGGGGGGGGGGCAGGATTTGATCGCCGTATTGTGGTGAGTATCGAATAACTGCCCGAATTTCCGCCCTACCAGCAAGGCGGCCAGGCGAGCCCTAACGTGTGGTGCAAGCTATCGTGTCCCCGCCGCGTGGCCGATGGAATGCCCAGTCGTAAACGTGTAACAAGCTGCCTGGAATTCATGTGTCTGGCGTGGGTGTCGGCGTTGGTGCTGGTGCGGTGCTGATGCGGTGCTGGTGTGGGCGCCAGCGTCGATGTCGGCGTAGGCGCTGGCATCGGTGCTGGCGTAAGGGCTGCTGTAGGTGTTGGTGTTGGAGCCGGCGTTGGCGCCAGCGTGGGTGCGGGCGCCGGTGCTGCCGTCGGCGCTGGTGTAAGCGTTGGCGTGGGAGCCGGCTGGGGGCCAGAGAGTCGAGCTGGTGTTCGCTGGAGATCAAGGTTGGGGCGACAAGTTGGTGGAGTCTGTAGAGTCGCGGTGGAGGTGGGACGTCGTGTGCCGAAGTCCAGAGGTCGGAGTGTCTAGTGAGTGCTGGAGGTTGGCTGCTGGAAGCTGGAAATCGTAATGCCGAGCAAGTGGGGGGCGGACGAAGAACGTTGGAGGAGGGAGTTGGATGTCGGACGCTGGTGGCTGAAGGTCCGAGTATAATGTGGTTAGAGTTGGGGGTCGAAGGTGAGGATTCAAGTGGGAAGTCGGGTGCTGGGAGGAGCAGGGTAGGTGGACAGGTGGAATCGCGCACGGCAGGACCAGCCAATTCCTCCCATACCCCTGCACATGTGAAGTCGTACCGGCAAGCGTTTTCTTACTCGTTCCCAGTGCGCGTGCTGGAAGTGTTTTCCGCCGCTCCCTCGAAGCTCCTCGGGAACTCTTGCGAAGCTCCTTTCTCGAGCATGATGCTGTCCAACGTCCTTACACGGGTCTCCTACTGACAACCTACCAGACCACCCCAACCCAACCCGAAGACCCGAATTTCGGGATGGGGGGGTACGGGTTCCATACGTGTTTTTTCGATGTTCCCTGGCCCCCCCCACCACTGGAGGTGTAGGGTAAATTGTGGCCTTCGGGTTGGGCCGGGGTGGTTTGGTGGGCGGTGAACTGCAGGCATTCCACCCGCTTTGGACTGCGCTGCTGCCCGGGTTCTGGACACTACTGCAGGTCGAGACAACGGCGGCTCTCCCGCTCGGCAGGAGTCCGCTCGAACCGGGCCTCCGGGACCCTCTCGGGTGCCATCCTGACTCCTTTTCGGAGCCGATCCAGCCGTGGCCACGAGAAGCCTCCAGGAGACCCAGCACGGACGAACGACGCCGGGGAAAACCGCCGCTGTCTCGCGGTATAGGACGGTACTCACATCATGATGCGAGTGGCGCAGGATACTTCCCAGGAGCTCTGGAGCATCTTGTGGCCCTCGTGTCTGCAGCCCGCGAAAGGGACCACGACAGGAACAACTGGAACACCTGGAACGTATCGTTGCCATTCCGCGGCGAGCGGGGGGGAAGTGAGAAGGAGAAGGCCATGTCAGAAGGTTCGGAAGTCCCCCGGCCTTCTGAGAAGTTTCCTCTGCATTCCCCGAACCAAAATAACTTCTCATGAGGTGCGAGGGCTTCTGGGAAGCCCCGCCGCCTTCTGAGAAGACCTTCCCCTTCTCACTTCCCCCCCTCGCTCGCCGCCGATCTTGGAACACCTGGAACGTATCCTGATCGTGACGTCTTGCTGATCGTGACGTCTTGCTGCGACCCAGGGCCTCCCAGGGGAGCCAGCTCCTCATCCCGAGTAAGAAACGGCACAGGAAGAGAAAAAGGGCGAAGACAAGAAGCCAACCAGAGCGGACCGAATAAGGTAGTTTGGCGCCAAGCAGAGCACGGGTCTACCAAGTGCCGCCGTCGCTCCGGGGATGCCTGTGCCTGCCCGGGAGCTTTGGAGAGGAGCTGGCGTGGCCTGGCCTGCCAACTCCTTATCTGAAACCCTCTCGGCTCTCAGAGAGCTAGGTCCTGGCGTGCCTTGGATACGTCACCCGGAGCGGCACAGGGCCTCTCGGGACCCCCTCTGGTGCCACGTCTTTCACCAGGCGGGACAAGCGTCGTGGAAGCACAGCATGGCCCAAAGAACGTGTGAAGGGATGGCTCTGGGTGGCTTGCTGCTGCTGCGAGGGAGCGAGGGGGAGGGGCAATACCTTCGGGACCCCTGCCCAGAAGAACAAACTGCATCATCATAAACTTTCGGTGCTTTGCGCCGATTTCTTGGATCCGCGCCGGACCCCCCTTTCCAGGCGCGCGGAGCGCGCCAGGGGCGGCGCTGGAGGCGCCACCACGGAGGCCCAGGCGCGGATCCGCGAAATCCGCGCGAAGCGCCCAACAGTTCATGTTCATGCAACTGCTCTTCGTCGACTCTCCCTCCCGCGGGCCGGCCTGTGCATCTGCGAGCTGAAGACGTCCGCGGAGCTCCCGCCAGCAGCAGCCGACGACTTCTTCTGCATGGCCAGCGCGACCTCCTCCCTGTCAGACCCCCTCGGGCCGCTGGGCGCCAGGGCCTGCGGCACGGCGGCCGCGGACCTGAGGGGGAGCGTCGGGAGGGGGTGAAGAGCCCTGGGACACACAAATAAATAGACACAAATAAAAGGATTCGCCAGATGTTCCTATATTTTCTGGGTCTTTGCCTTCCCCCCCATCTCCCATATTTTCCTATATTTTCTTGGGAATCGACGATTGATTGTGTTTGTGTGTTGTTTTCTTTCCCTCCTGTGGGGGGGGGGGCGGCGCAGGGTGGCAAACATTGGCGTGGAGTCGGCGGTGCATCGCCCGTGGATCGGCGGTGGGCCCTCGATCGCGGGACCGCGCGTTCCTGGGAAGGGTGGCCTAGCTATCGGGCCCCTGTCGACGATGAGTGCGCCATTGGGTGATGCACAATTTGAGTACCTTTAACCCTTTGGAGGGAGACCAACAGAATGGGGGCGGCAAAAACGTTAGAAGTAGGGGGTCCTCTCTGGTCAGACCAAAGCGCCCAGTTGATGTATCCCTCATGCGAAGACGGGGACCTCAGTGAGGCCACGTCTTCATCGTGTTCTTAAAGTTAGGGGTTCTTTTGATCTTTTGTTCTCGATGATTGGGGGTCGATGCACCCCCACCACCCTGAGCCGACCGCTCTCAATCTTCTTCGTCGTCTGGCTTTCGGGCCACAACGCCATAACTCGGGCCTCTGGCTTCCGCTCGGGACGATCGGGCACTCCGGACGCCTCTCGGCGAGGCGCAGCTGCTGAAGCGCACCCCGAGGCAGAAACGTCCCCAGGTACAGACGGAAGCGTCCGACCCCCCCCAAGCCTACATCAGGCACATACGATACGACATCTCATTATTTGAGATCCAGGGGCACATTCGACGTCAGTCTCTGGAATACCTGAGGTGCTCAAGTGCTCCTGCGAGTCCCATGGGGCCGCTGGGGGGCATCACAACTTTCGGTGGGGCACCTCCAGGCAGGCCGGTTTTTTCTTGATGTGCCGAGTGGATGCGTCCGCCCTTAAATCTGGGAAACGTAAGACTCGGGTGCGGGGGACTCGGGTTTGCCTGACGGCGCCATCATGAAAATTACGAGACCCGATCTGACATTTGACGCGAGCTCCCGCTGCAAACATCCCACGGATACTGGACCGTCAAATTCAGGCCGCGCTCGTCAGAAAATGTCGGCAAACCCGAGTTCCGGCTTTCTCGAGTCTTACGTTTCCCCGATTAAAAAACTGCCCATGAGGACCACTGGTCGAACTGAGCGTGCCTGCGGATCTTCTCGAGGTAGCGGCCCACGAACGCGGGCAGAGCGCTCACGAACGAGTGGTGCTCCTGCCCGCGGCGGCCGGGGGGCGCGCGGCCCCGGGTCTTGAACTCCGAAGGGGCAGCGGGCTGGGCGGACCGTCTGATCCAGGTGACGAAGCACAAATCGCGACGGCCCATTTTTGGACGCCTTCGGCCTCTGGAGGAGGAGGAGAAAGGAGGAGGAGGAGGAGGAAGAGGAGGAGGAGAAGGAGCAGAAAGAAGGAGGAGGATGATGATGATGAGGAGGAAGCAGGGATGGAGACCGTCTCCTGGCCCACAGACCGTGAAACATGTTGGACGCCCGAGATGGGTATGGAACAAATGGGTCCGATGCCCAACCCAAATGTTGTCCGAAACCGCTGGCGGCCGCTGTTGGGCAGGCGGCCTCCTGTCTCAAATGGACAACGTCCACGACAACGCAGATAGCGAACACGATTCAAAATGGGCAGGAACTGCTGTCGGTCGTCGTACCCATTTTGGCGGCGCGCACAAAGGGGGTAGGGGGAGGAGGGAAGGCTTCTAAGAAGGAAACTGCTTCTTAGCAGGCGCCGGCCTTACATCTACAGACAAAGCCCGCACAATCTAAGAAGCATGGGTGCTTCTAAGAAGGCTTCCCCCACCCATAACCCCCTCTGCGCGTGGCAGGCTTTCCGTACTCCAGATTTCGCCATAAAAGGGAGGGGTCACAACCCTCACAGAAGGGCAATTCCAGACCCCCCCAAACAAGCCATGAAGGGCGGCTTTTTGCCCAGACCCACTGGAACCCTCCAAGACAGCTCAAATCTGACCCCATCCCAAATCAGACCATCCCCCTTTTACTGTGAAATCTGGAGTACCCATTTCAAACGAACCGAACACAGATTCAGGATGAAGGGCCAGTCCACGGGAAGAGGTCCAGATCCCTGAGGGCCCCCCGTCGCAGAGCGAAATCGCGCCGATCAAAGAAAAGGGGGAGCTGGGGGGGAGTCAGCTCCCGCAGCGGATTTCCTTGGCGCCTCCTGGCGCTGGAGACGCCCATGTATCGCGGAGATCGCCCAGCAGTGGCAAATGGTGGTCGTTTCGCTCCTGAGTAACTCGGAGGCCGGCCAGGTGCTCATCAGTGCCGATCATGTTCTGAAGCTTGCTTCGAGATCCGAAGAAGCCCCTTTGAGTAAATTCGCTGCTGTTCCACAGCAGAGCGCGCAGGCATTGTAATGCGAACGGTTTCTTCTTCAGCGTTTTGACATTGGTCGGAGGGAGGGGTGGGGGAGGGGGGAATCTAGCTCCGAACCTCTGCTGAATGCGACTGTTTGCAACAGTGCATCATCTGGGGGAGACTCCATCTGCTTGGAACAAGCGCCAAGAACAGCCAAGATCTTCTCCACGGGGGGCGGAGAGAGAGGGGGTGCGAGGGCCCGTGCCGATCGGCAAAACAATGAGAAAAGAAACAATCACGATGTGACGGTTTGTTTCACCAGCTTGCCACTGGACGTCTGAACGTGCAGGACGTCTTTCTGTCGTTTTTTTGTCATGCTGTCACGTTTGGTGCGGCCACCGAAGATCTCCCGCTCCCGGACCCTGGGGGACGCCTCCCAGCCACCCGCAGGCTGCAGAGGTCCTGGCTCCGCCCTTTGGGTCGCTTCTCGGCCCCAAGATGTTTCCAAGGAGTGGCCGCCCAGGGGGTGCCAATCGAGACTCGGCGACACGAATTTCGTGCGCTCAACTTGTACAGGGGATTTGTCGACCCCTATCCCGAGCTTCGTGGAGTTTTCGCATGGAGCAGGAACTTGAAACCCAACCCTGGGATATACGATGGGAGGGCGTCCATCCTCGATAGGGGTGCGTTAGAATAGCTCCGTGGCGGTGTATTCCAGGATTTCCCTCCGTCTCTGAGCGGCATCATGCTGGGTCGAAAAGTCTTGGGTTGGGGGAGACACATCGCCTGCGACGGTCTCCAGTAGGACGAGCATCTACCCGCATCACCAGCATCCGCATGTCACAGCTCTCTGCGAAAACGCACGCCTGGTAGAATGCTCACAGGAGCCCAGAGCGCACATGACCCTTTTGGGAAAAGAAGGACGGCAATGCGGCAGTTCCCGCAAGATCGTTCATCGAGTAGATTTGTGCAAAACTATCGCCGACGCTGTCTACTCGTCCATTAGTGCCATGCTTGTCGTCAAGGGCGAGACAGCAGACTTTGTTCAGATGCCTGGAGGTACTGCTATGTTAGACGAGCTTCAGGCGTTCTATGTCCTGTGGAATGCGGAAGCCGATACGAAATCTCTCATTCTGCCAGACTTTGCACATTCGACCCACCAGAGACTACGGCAATCACTGCCTTGAGGAGAGCACCGCACCGCTCTACTTGAGCCTGGCGTCGCTCACGAAACCGAGCCCGAACAAGGGCAACAACCTTGATGTGCAGAACGAGGGCGCAGAGGCCCTGTCGGTCGGCCCCGCCCCCCCCGCCCGTCTTCCTCCGTCGACCGTCTTGACGTCGCCGCCGCCTGTCCCTCCCCCATCTCCGAGGAGGAGGAGGAGGAGGCGGAGGAGGAGGAGGGGGAGGAGGAGGAGGAGGAGGAGGAGGAGGAGGAGCTGGTGGATCGCCCCCCCCCCCTCACTACCCGCCTTGACCAAAGAGCAGTGTCCTCGGATGGCCAACGGCACGCCCGCCCGCGCCCGCCGCGAGGCCAGGCCGCCGCGCGGCGCACGCGAGGCGCGCGCCCTGGCCGGTAAGGAGCGTGCTCCGCGGCCGTCTTCCCGTCCGCTGGGGCAGGCCAGATGGGCGGCCAGCCTGGCCCCGCCGATCAGGGTGGCAGGTCGGTTACCCTGTGCGCCACCAGCCCTGCGCCGTTTACTGAACATCGGAGCACGCCTCGCGCCGATCCCCTCGTCGCCCCCCCCCCCCCCGACCCACACACACACAGACATGGACACAGACACAGAAACAGGCAACGGCAAAGCACAGGCAAAGACACACTCACACACACACACCAAAACACAACCACACACACACACACGCACGCACGCACACGCACACACACAACAAACAACACACACACAACACACACAACACACAACACACACAACACACACAGCACACAGCACACACAGCACACCCAACACATACAACACACACAATACACACAACACGCACCACACACAACACACAACACACAACACACACAACACACACAACACACACAACACACAACACACACACAACACACACACAGCACTCACAACACACCCAACACACACAACACACACAACACACAACACACACAACACACACACACGACACACACAACACACAACACACCCAACACACACACACAACACACACACAACACACAACACACCCAACACACCCAACACACACCACACAACACACAACACACACAACACACACACAACACACACAACACACACAACACACACACAACACACAGAACACAGACACACCACACACCACACACCACACACAACACACACAACACAACACACACAACACACAACACACACAAAACACAACACACAATATATATATATACAACACGCACACAACACACAACACACAAAACATCTCACACACACAACACACAACACACACCACACACAACACACACACAACACACACACAACACACAACACACACAACACACACAACACACACACACAACACACAACACACAACACACACAACACACCCAACACACACACCACATACACACACACACCGCACACAACACACACAACACACACCACACACACCACACACACACCGCACACACCACTCACACAACACACACAAAACACACACAAAACACAACACACACAACACACACAACACACACACAACATACACAACAGACACAACAGACACAACACACACACAACACACAACACACAACACACACAACACACACAACACACACAACACACAACACACACACTCACTCACTCATGCACACACACGCCATCTCCTCCAGCACCTCACCATCCGTCTGTCATTCCTCCTCCTCCTGTTTCTTCCCGACTCATCGTCCTCCTCTTTTTCAACTTTGTCTTCATATCTGTTGTTTATTCCTCCTCCTCGTCCTCCTCTACTTCATCCTCCTCCTCCCTCCACCTCCTCCTCCACCTCCTCCTTCTCCTGTTCTTGCTCCTCCTTCTTCTCTCAGGCTGCGGGCTTTGGTCCACGAGCGGGTGCTGCCCGACTTCATCCTCCCTCTCATCCCATGATCTCGCAGGCCCGCGAGGCTCCTTCCGCAGCAACAGCTCCGTGACCGTCATGTTCCGGAGGTCGTGCTCCTCGGCATGGAACCCGGCCTGCGTCTCCGCGCACCTCTTCACGTATGCGCAGCGCAGGGAGTCGCTCATATACGAGGACACGCAGAGGGGAGAGACCAGGCAGCACAGCGCGCCGTCGAGCTCCTCGATGCGGTGCTCCATGTGGCGCAGGAAATGCTCCTGTGAGGGAGACGTAAGACTCGGATTATGGCGTCAGGAAAATGACCACACCCAATCTGAAATGTGGCGCGAACTCGCGCTGCAAACACCCTACGAAAACTGGACCGTCTGAAACCAGGACGGGCTCCTAACAAATCGCCGGCGAACCCAAGTTCCAGCGCACTCGAGCCTTACGTTTCCCAGGTGCTGTGAGGCCAAACCATACCGACACCGCTACTCTTATGTCGGGCGTGTCTCCCTACAGGGGGATTTTCGAGGAAAAATAAAAATACCCCAAAAATAAACCAAAAAGGTCAAAAAATGCTCAAACAATAATACCTGGACTATTTTGGGACAATGTTTTGTATATCTTTATTTTTCGTCGAAAATCCCCCTGCAGGGGGACAGGCCCGACTTAACGCTACTCCTCGGACCTCTCCTGGGGTGTGCTGACTGACCAGACGTCTCGCAGCGGATCGCGCCGTGGCGGCGCGGGCCTCCTGGGAGGCCCCCCCCAAAAGCGAACACGAGGCCAGGGTAGCAGCGACATGGGCAATTGCCTGCTCCTCCCCGGAGCTCCACAAACTTCGGCTGCGCACGACACTCCAGCGCCGCGAAGGCGTTCGCCGTCTTGACGAGCATCCTCGCGGGCAGCGCGTCGTCCGTGACCCGGACCTTCTTCAAGAGCTGCGCCGCCACCATGTCGACGTAGTTCCGCTCGCGCAGGCGGCGCCTGTGAGGAGGCAGCGTCGGGGGGGCACCCGCTCTGGGGGGTGGGACATCGACCTGGAACCGGCGACACACCGCAGATGGATCGGCGATATGCCCCCGATGGCAAAAGTGCACGTCTCCCTGGCGGGGTACGCTATCGGGCCCCTATCGGCGATGAGTAAGCGTTTGGGGTCGATGTCCCCCCCCCCCCTGAGCGATTATCATCCCCCGAAAGCTGCCCCTGAGCCTGGCGAGCAGGCGTATCAGCTCGCACAGCTCGCCCGCGCAGGCCGAGCCCATGTAGTGGGGCATCTCACCCAAGAGGCGCAGGAACAGCTCGTAGTCCTCGTAGCGCACGGAGCAGAAAAGCTTCATGGTCTCGCGGGGAAGGGCGGCGGCTCTCTGTCTGTCTGTCTGTCTGTCTGTCTGTCTCTCTGTCTGTCTGTCTGTCTCTGTCTGTCTGTCTGTCTGTCTGTCTGTCTGTCTGTCTGTCTGTCTCTCTGTCTGTCTGTCTGTCTGTCTGTCTGTCGTCTGTCTGTCTGTCTGTCTCTGTCTGTCTGTCTGTCTGTCTGTCTGTCTGTCTGTCTGTCTGTCTGGCAGCCTGTCTGTCTGTCTCCCTCTCTCTCTCTCTGTGCAAATGCTCGTGTAATGTGACCCCAATTGCATGGCCCCCCGCTGCGGGCGGAGGAGGAGGAGGAGGAGGAGGAGGAGGAGGAGGAGGAGGAGGAGGAGGAGGTAGGAGGAGGAGGAGGTGCGAGCAATACGAGGAGGAGGAGGTACGAGGACGAGGACGAGGAGGAGAGGGACGAGGCGGAGGAGGAGGAGGTGTAGGAGGCATTGAGCCCCGAAAAGGTCGTCCTCCCTGTATACCTCCGGGGCCATCCTTGCACACGCACGCACGCAGATCGTGGCTACGCCCGTCCCGGGTCGGCGTCGTCGTCTCGGAGATTTGCGGGCCCCTCTCGGGGCGGTCTCGCCGCCATGGCCAGGCCCAGCCTCGCGCCCTCATGGCCCCGCCGCGCCGCGCGAGGACCTCCGCGCCTTCGCAGCCGCCCCGGCCCCGACTGCGAGGCGCGGAGCGACCCACCGTCGTCGCGCGAAACCGCGCGGGAGGCCCGGCGGGGCCTCGTCGCCAGAGGCCGGGCGCGGCTCGCGGACAACTGAGGCTGGGGGGCTATTTTGCATTGCTTCCACGCTGCCCTCCTCCTCCTCCTCATCATCCTCTTCCTCCTCTACTCCTTTTCCATATAGATAACTTCTCCCTGTCGCACCCCGATGCCAGTTGTTAAGGCGGGCCGGGCGTTTCGCCTGAGACTTCCTCACGACCTATGACTCCGAAGCTTCAAACTTGGTAATAGTTTCACAGATGGAAGGCGGGCCGTTTTCAAAACGTGGCTCTCGCCTTAGCGCCGTGAACATTCGTCTTGAAATGTGGCTCTCGCCATAGCGCCGCGTACATTCGTTTTGAACATATTCAAGGGCTTCACGGATTGAGGGCGATTCCTTTTCGAAATGTGGCTCTCGCCTTAGCGCCGCACACATTCGTGTATAGTCTTTGCATGAGTTCCACGGATTCCCATGATCAACGTACTAGAAATGATGTTTGGGAAAGTTTCAGGAGTATGCGGGTGCAACGGTTATTCTGAATCGCGGTGTTGAAATCCCAAGAATGGCGTTCGATCGCCAAGACGCAACAGTGAGGTTGATCCGTGGCGTTGGAATCCCGCGAACAATGTTTTGGCATACTTCAGGGTCTTCAAACGGTTGTCTTCCAACGAGGCAGTTCCCTCGATGGGAATGGACCGTTGTAGGGGCCTATGAAGAGGGAGCTTGGAGGGAAGGTTTACTCCAACAACATTGATGACTCTTGGGTTTACAATGGTCCTCCTCCTCCTCCCTCCCGCTCCCGCTTCCCCTCCCCCTCCTCCTCCTCCTCCCAACCTCCTCATCATTATCATCCCCCTCCTCGGCCTGGATGTTCTTGTTTGTTTATTTTCCACGCTGTCCGATCTTTCCGAATCGACTTCAACGAGTCGTGCGCTACATGCTCAAACTGTCGCCACATAACGACGACTACTATACCCAAAGATCGCTCGCGCAACACCGCGCGAGCGTAGGACGATGCACCCTCCCATGAACTGGCCAAGATGGGGCCCTACAAGACTCGTCAAACAAAACGAAACTGTCGGTTTTTGTTTTGGGTGCCTGCGTTGTCGGCGTTTCTTCAATGCTGGCATGAGGTGTTTGGCCAAGGCGCAGGGGTGTGCGAAATCCGGCAGTACCCTCACAGCACTGAAGAGCGCGTTTTCTGGCAAGAGTCCGAGCTATCGGGCGCTTCCATTTTGGACGGCGTGTCAGTCTATGTTTGACGAGTCTTGCAGGGGGGAAGGTCGAGGGACCGGCCTGACGGAACTGTGGCCAGGGAGGGGATCAAGGGGGTGGCCCACTGCTTTCCCAGACCAGACACCATCTACCTTCTGAGGAAGCCTGCGTTGGAAGGGGCCACAGATCCTGTGCAATCGAGAAGCACCCTTGCCTCTTCAAAAGCCGCGCAACTCTCTACAATAGACGAACAGCACACTGCGTAAACACAAACTTTCGGAGGTCCGCGCGGTTCTTTAGATCGGCGTTACACCCTCCGCCCGAACGAGCGGAGCGCGCCAGGGGCGGCGCCAGGCGCGGCCAGGGGACCGCAGCGCCGATCGAAAGTGAATGTTTATGCTGCTTTTTCGCCTTCGACTCTCGTCCCACCCCACCGTGCTAGAACCAAGTCTAACCTGCGTAAAGCATTCCATCACTCCGAGAGGGAGAAATCTTCACACATGCGAGAACATTGTGGCACCCTGGGCCCCTTGGTTTCTTAGGTCCGCGAAGATTTCTCGGGACCCCCGTCCCTCGGGCGACGCCCAATGGGGGGCGATGAATGGGGGATTTGTTTTTTCTTCCCCCCCCGCACATCGCTCCACCATCACGCAACCGCTTGACTGGAAGGCCGCATGCCCCAGATCCACCAGCCCGCCGAAGATGAAACGAAGGCGTCTAGCGTTGAAACGTTTCCCCAGCAGCACTCTGTTTGGAATCCGCTTCCCCTCATGGGGGCTATTCGTACCGGTCTGAGGCCATGGGGGGCGATGAATGGGGGAGGGGGGAAGCGTGCACCTTTCGTGTCCCTCTTGTGGGCCCTCAAGGGGCGATGGTCGCTGGGCCCGCTCACGGGAGGAGCCGAAGTCCAGGGAACCAGCTGGCGGATGGAAGCGGCACGGTGTCGGAACGCTCTGGGACGGACTTCTTCCTCGTCATAGTTACCAGCCTCTAACGTATCCCTATCCCTAAGATTGACACGCCAAAAGGCACTGACAATCCTAGGGATGCGCCCTCAAAAAATAAGGGAATCCCTAAGATTGGCATCGTGATGAGGAGGTGCCCAGCATAGGGATAGGGATATGTTCCAGGCTGGTAACATAGCCTAGTCCGAGACCCTGTGGGCGCGTTTGGGCCACAATCGCCCGCGGCACCTCCAGGCCCTCCAGAAGGGGGGCGTCCAAGAGAGGGAATCGCAGATCATGACCCGAGGCACGTGCGCGGATGAGGCACGTGCGGGACGCATTGAAGGAATGACATCTGGGGAGATATCATGGCCCTGGCCACTGTACCCACCCCTCCTAAGCATCACCCCCCTCTTGGGAACGCTCTGGAACGGACTTGTTCCTCCTCCTAGCCCCGTCTGGCCCTCGCTTACCTCCTCCATCGCCCCCCCCCCCCTGTCGCAGCGCCCGAGCCCCCCCCCATTACTCGGCGGTGGACAAACCTCCCTTTAGTAAACCTCCCCTTAGTGAAAACGGCCTGAGACCGAAACCGACGGACCTGGACCCGCAAAGATGACGGCCGCGACGCCCTCTCGCGAACCGAAAACGGCCAATGCCTCAATCGACGTGTCAGGGGAGGAGGTCTGTCCACCCCCGGCCATCACGCAGCGCCCTGGCCCCGTCCGGACCTCGCTCACCTTCGTCGCCCCCGCCCCCCCCGGGACGCGACGCCCGAGCCCCCCGATCGCACGCGCGCCGCGAGCCGGGGAGGGCGACGCCAGGAGCGCCGCGCCGCGGGGGCCCTGGCGGCCGACCGGAAGACATCCGCGCGGACCTCCAGCACATCTCGTGCTGCCGTTTTGGAACACTGGGCATCGCTCGGACGTCCACTCCCTGTGCTCTTTTCGGTTTCGTGCGTGGCTTTTTCGCCAAACGATCAAGGATGCTCCTCGATGGTCCTCGCCGAAGGAAAAATCCACACGTCCGAGCGATGCTAAGAAAAGGGGGCCCAGGGCACCATCAGGGGCTCGTGCCTCTGGTCGAAGGAGCTGGGCCCCTGCGGCAGGAACTCCGGACATCGGAGGAGCCGGAGATGGTATGGCCGTGGGTCTTCCTGTCGGCTGAAGCCCTCCACGCCGCCGCGCTCTAAGGAGTAGGGACAAATCCGATGGACACACAAAGAGATAGGCAGAAACCCGAGGACCACCCATATGTTTCCACATGTTCTGGAGTTTCGTCCTCGCCCCACTTCCCATATTTTTTGGTATCTTCCTGGGGATCGACGATTCAATGCGTCTGTGTGTTCTTCCCCCTCCTGAATTTTGCGGCATCATCATCAGCATCACCAGCATCATCATAGTCGTCGTCGTCGTACCACGACCCTCCCACCCTCGCACACCCTCCCCTCTCTTCCGGGCCTTCCGCCCTAACCTTCCGCCCCCTTTTCTCGATATGATCGGTGTGGGTGTCCTTGAACTGAGTAAGGTTTCCATGAGTTTTGATGGATTTTTAGCATCGTCCGCGGAGGTTGGAAGGTATGGAAGGTGGAGGTGGAGGGATCGTCGTCATCGTCATCACCATCATCACGACTCTCGCATCTTCGCACAGTCGCCACCGAGAATGTTGGGCTGGCACGGTGACGGGACTTGCCGCAGGCAACCAGATTCTATGTGGTGTTGTGGTCTTCACATTGCGCGCCGCCCACTGGAACCCATGTCGGTGTTCGTATGTACGGCAAATCCTCGTCGTGGACGACTTCGGCAATGGTTGATGGCACCGCGAGGATCGTTCCGCATTGAATGAGCAGTGGGTCTCGATTTCCAGATCGTTCCATGTTGGCCAATTCTGGGCCACTGGCGGAATTCAACCTTGAACGCCCGCGGCGGTGTCGCTGTCGCGTCGACAGCACGACATGAACCTGCTGTAGTTGGTGCCCTCCGGCCTCGAGCAGCTCGCCGAGGACCAAGCTGCTGGCCAAGCCCTTCGCCTGCGAAGCCAGGTGCACCCACAAAGGACCAACTGCCTGCCGGCCCTTCTCGCGCTCGCGCTGCTTCCGCAGGTCGGCGAAGAAGTCGTTCTTCACCTAGGGGGAGGCCAGCTGCACACAGACACCTGTCCTGGCCAGACACCTGTCCCAGACCCAGGGTCCGTGCGTACGACCCCCCTGGGCCTGGCCAGGAGTGGAAGCAGACCGACCCTCTGGCCCCGGGCCTTGCCCCACCGAGATCGGTGCAGGTGAATAGAAGGAGGCAGCTTTTCTGGAGGCTCTGGCAAGCTTACTTGCATGGATTGATGGGGGGGCGTGGTGAGGCCCGAAAGGAGGTCTGGACTTCGCAAGTCGGGACTCACTCGCACGACTTTCTTCGGCCCAGCGCTGCACATGCAAGCAAGCTGTGCAGAACCTACATCGAAACGCGATGTTGATCAGAGACCTCCCCAACGAGGTCGGAGCAGATGGCGTCGGAGGATCGCGCCGCATCTCCGATGCATCACCGATGAATGGGCGATGCGCCAGCCATGTCATAATGCATCGGCGACGTCGGAGTGGAGAACATCTGGCTCCACATCGAGCCACATCGCCAATACATCGACGATGCGGCGCGACACTCCGACCCCATGTGCTCGGACCCCGTGTGTAGAAAGAGAACTGGACATACACACACACACACATCCAGTCGGCCCGTCTCAGGAGGATGCGCGGTAAGATGCCAGGGCCCTGGAGGCCCTCGCGAACGGTTTTCGAACGAGGCTGTCCAGCGAAAGTCGCTAAGGATGGGCCAGAGGGGCAAGGACGCAAGGGTACCCTTGGGAAAATTGTCCATCCTTACCATGCGGGATGACCGTAAACATGTCGACGGTCCGAACGGATTCCTTGGACCCGCGCCGGAATCCCCTCCCTGGCGCGCGGAGCGCTCCAAGGAGACCCAACACAAATCCGACACATCCGCGGGGACCAGAGGCAATGTTCCGTGGCAGCGCGTGCGAGCCTCTCGTACTATCTTGTTGGCTCTTCCGCAAAGACACTAATTGACACGAGTCGACGCTAAAGCGACTCTCATCGACGCTAAGCGGCGCTAATCGACGCCACATCGGCGCTATCCCATCGACTACCAAACGCTAATCAACGGAATTAACTAAGTAAACGCTATCCAGCGCTATCACATCGCTACCAAACGCAAACTGCCAAACCCGAATCGCTGCGCTATCCCATCGACTATCAATGACTAATCGGCGCTATCTCATCGACTACCAAAGACGGAATTAAGAAGGTACTCCAGGCTGCCATCATTTACTACCGAAGGCTTGGAAACTTTGGAAGGTGATGGTGGAGGGGTCGGCAATGTATGTTGACGCCGCTTGTCTCCTTCGAATTTGGGAGGCCTACTATACGGTTCGGGTGGCTCGGGTTGGGCTGATGGGGCCATGATGAAAATGACGAGACCCAATCTGAAAATTGACGCGAACTCCCGCTTCAAGCAGCCCACGAAGACTGAACCGTCAAAACCCGGGGCGGGTCCGTCAGAAAGCGCAGGCGAACCCGAGCTCTGGCATGCTCGAGCCTTCTGATTCCCCGATGCTCCAATAGATTTGGACGCCCGAAATGGGTACGGGAAGAATGGGTACAATGCCCAACAGCAAATGTTGTCCCAAACCAACAGCGGCCGCTGTTGGGCAGGCGGCCTTCTGTCTCGAATGGACGCAGGCAGCGGCGGCGCGGACAGCGAGTCCTGCTCAAAATGAACAAGATACGCTGTCGGGCATTGTACCCATTCTTTCCGTGCCCACTTCGTTCGTGCAGTATAGATTGGCGCTCTCCGATCACCGTGCCGGCCTCCGCGAACTGGCTCTTCCACGCGCCCCCCGGGCCCAGGCGGCTCCGCGCGGTGGTGGTCGCTGTCTCCAGGTCCCTGGCCGTGTACAGGTAGCGGCGCCCCGGCGAGGCGCCTGCGGAGCAGGCGCCGAGCGTCCCGGCCTTCCCGTAGGCCTACCACGAGATGTTCTGCTACAGGCCTCCCAGATGGGGTCGGACTAATGGGATGGGATCGGAGGCTGCATCGTCGATACATCACCGATGTATCGACGATGCATCGGCGACGTCAGCGATGCAACGGCGACGTCGGCGTGGACAAACATCGGGCTCCACACCGCGCCGCATCGCCGATGCATCGGCAGCGTCGGCGGGGAGATCTCGGGCTCTACATCGCTGCGGCGCGATCCTCGGACAACATCCACTCGGACCCCATCTGAGAGGCCTAGGTCATAGAACTGGATACAATGCTAAGAACACATACCGTGTCCCTGGAACAGAAGAGCGAGGTACTAAAGAAAGACTGCCTCAACCAGACATGTTCTGCTGAGAGCAGATCGTGCAAGGCACTGGATGTTCTCAGAGTCATCTCTGGCGGGCCTACTCGGCAGCTCCGGACGCTTCGCCACTGCTTGAGAGCCTGCGCCCAACCCCTCGCCGGAGATGTCGCACTCGAAGGCCGAGGCCAGCGTCCTCGGAGGCAGCCCAAAGAGCGGAGGTTGGGCGCGAAGTCATGGGTGGACGATGCATGGGAGGGGAGAAAGGTGCCCTCTTCGGACCCCAAAAATTACCAGCCTCGAACTTATCTCTATCCCTAAGATTGACACTCCAAAAGGCGATGATAATCTTAGGGATTCGCCCTCAAAAAATAAGGGAATCTCTAAGATTGGCATCGTGATGAGGAGGTGCCCAGCATAGGGATAGGGATATGTTCCAGGATGGTAAAAAAAAACTCCCCCTCCAGGGCACGAAAAGGTCTCTCTCTCTAGGCACCCCGAAGGGCTACTTTTCGGCAGCCCTCGCTGCCCCCTCACTTCATCGCTGCCCCATTGCACCTCGCCCCACCCCACTTCCGGGCCCTGAAGGCCACCCCTGGGCCACCTCTGGGCCCCTTTCTGCAGCCCTCGCTGCCCCCAAAAATGTCGCCCCCCACCCCCCCCCTACCTCGCCATCGCTTGGACGTCCATTCCCTGTGCATTCTTCGGTTTCGTGCGTGCATTGTTTCGCAACGTCAACAAAAATGCTCCTCGATGGCCCCTTGCCGATAAAAAATGCACACGTCCGGGCGTCCCCCCCCCCTTACTCGGGTCGGGCGAAAGGGGGGGATAGCAAATCGGGCGAAAGGGGGGGATAGCAAAGGGGGGTTTGAGAATCAGCTCACGTAGCTGATTTTCCCGGCGCCTTCCGGCGCCAGAGGCGCCTATGTATCGAGGGATGGGCTCCTCGGTGGGGCCGAAACCAACTGCATGCAGCTAATTTCGTACCCCCCCCTTTCCCAATCCCCCCCTTTTTTGTCCGGCCCAATAGCCGGCAACCCCCTCTCTGCCGCCCCCGAGAGTCTCGACACTCTCTTTAAGTCGGGCCCGTCCCCCTATGAGGGGATTTTCGACGAACAAAAAAAAATACCCCCAAAATAGTCCCCCTGGGGGGGGCAGCGAGGGCTACCGAAAAGGGGCCCGTTGGGGCGACGAAAAGGGAGGCTCTTCGGGCCCAGAAAGGGGCCTTTGGGGCTCGACAATCGGCGGTGGACAAACCTCCCTTTAGTAAAGCTCCCTTTAGTGAACACGGCCTAGAACCGAAAGCGACGGACCTGGACCCGCAAAAATGACGGCCGCGACGCCCCCTCGCGAACCAAAAACGGCCAAATCTCTCATCGACGTGTCAGGGTAGGAGGTCTATCAACCTCCGACTTTCCCCTCCCATTGTCGGGCGTTGGAAGAACTGGGTTTAATGGAACCTGGTTTAGTGATCTGCACCTGGGGCGCCCCCCCGTCCCATTTCCGCTCACCGGTGCTGCCGTCACCCGAAAAAAACACCAGCTATGGCAAAGCTGGCTTGGTGATTCTGGCCAATTCGAAAGCCCCGGGGCCCTACCACTAACCGGGTCCCCTTACCTGGGGTCCTGGCCATACCCGACATTAATACCAGGTCCCCCCCGTTGTTGGACAGGCGGCCTCCTGTCTCAAATGGACACAGGCCGCGGCGGCGCGGACAGCGAGTCCTGTTCAAAATGAACAGGAACTGCTGTTGGGCATTGTACCCATTCTTTCCGTACCCATTTCGTTCGTGCAGAGCGACCAACGCCCCCTCGCGAACCGAAAACGGCCAATTCTCTCATCGACGTGTCAGGGTAGGAGGTCCATCAACCTCCGACTTCCCCTCCAAAAATATCTCCCAAAAAATATCTCCCCCCCAAATATCTCCCCCAAAAAATATCTTCCCCCCCAAAAATACCTCCCCCCATTCATCCGCGACCAACGGGCGCACGGGGCTGGGTGCGGTCCCCCGGCGCCGCCCGCTCCGGTGCGAGGTCTCGGGAGGTGCGCCCGGAAGCTGGGATCGGCGCGGGGTGTGTCGGTGGACGCCAAGGTCGGCTGCATCGCTCAAGCTCCACCTTCCATACCTTCTGACCACCGCGGGAGGTGCGGACGAAGCCATCAAAACTCATGGAAACCTTACGCAATTCAAAGGGTTGGAAGGCTAGGGCGGGAGGCCTGGAAGAATGAAGGGGAGGGAAGGTGGGCTATATCTGGCCTGACCTAGCTCAGAAGTTGGCTGCAAGTGCCATGCGTGTTTTAGGGGGTTACCGATTCGGGCTAAGTGGGTTCTGGTCACCGGGCAGAGTCGTCTACACCCCAGGCCGCTTTGGGCCTCTGTGGCCCACTTAGGCGCTACGTTGGGCCAGACTCCACCAGCCTTGGCATCCACTGATAAACCCCCCATCCTCTCAACAACCCCGCGCCGATTCCAGAGTATCCCCCGTATGGCTCTCCAGAGGCCAGAGGAGGGCCCAGGAACGCCCAGACACCTCGACCCTCGACCCTCGGAACTCGAACCTGGAACCTCTACCCTCGAACCTCGAACCTCGGACCTGGAACCTCGACCCTACAACCTCGAACCTCGACCTGCGACCCTTGCTCCTCGATCCCCTCGAACCTGGAACCTCCACCCTCGAACCTCGACCCTCGGACCTGGAACCTCCACCCTACAAGCTCGAACCTCGACCCTCGACCCTGGCTCCTCGCCCCCCTCGACCCTGGAACCTCCACCCTCGAACCTCGACCCTCGGACCTGGAACCTCAATCCTACAACCTCGAACCTGGACCGTCGATCCTCGATCCTCAAACATCGTCTGCCTCGATCACCGATCCTCGACCATCGTCTGCACTCTCGCCTGGCACCACAGCAGGCCTCTGGTGACCCCTACAGGCCCTGGAGAGGGACCAAGAGCGCCCAGACACCTCGACCTTCGCTCCCCTGACCATCTTCCAGGTTTGCCGACGACGGCAAAGACGACAAAGACGACAAAGACGACAACGACGACGACGACGAGCCACAACACGGTGACGGCGACGACGACGACGACGACGACGATGTAAGACGCAGCTGGGACGAAGATCACATCGGGTGAGGACAAATCGAGCATCTCTGAGATCCGGCGGCTCTGGCGTATGTCTCAGGCTGCGCAGCCTTCTCGGAGCGCTCCGGAACGGATTTACCCTCGCACCAGCTTCTCGCTCCACTCTGGAGCATCTCGAGGCCCCCTGGGCTTCGTGAGGGACACTCTGCGGGCACAGTGGCTCCAAGGACACCCTTCCAGACGTCCTCCGATACGCTTTTCCAATCCGCAGCCCTGGGGGTAGCTTTGCGTCCCAGATCCACTGTTGATTGCCCCTGAGCCTGAGAAAAGGGCCCAAGAGGCAGAAAAGGGATATAACAAAGATGCGCCCTGACAGAAATCACAAGCGTGTCGCCGGAGATCTGGGTTCTGGGCAACACCTGTCTCTTGCGCGGGCCATCTCCGAGGGCGGCGGGGCGTTCCAGAAGCCCGCGACCCTCTGAAAAGGGCCCTCCGCTGCTCCACGGCAGGAGGTCTCCTGACCCTCCTGTTATGTCGGGCGTGTCCCCCTACAGGGGGATTTTGGGAGAAAAATAAACAATACACAAAACATACACCGAAATTGTCAAAACATACTAAAAAATAGTCCCCAGAACTAGACGCAAAGTGGGGGGCTAAAGCCCCCCACTTTGCTCGACCATTTGATTCTCAGAGATAAAACCCAGGACCAAGTACAGCTCCATGCATTGGCGAATCGCTGGACTTTGGAAGTTGAAGCCCGGGACCGCAGAGCTAAAGCCCAAGATCTCAGGGCTAAAACCCAGCATCATAAATTTAAACGCACCAAGAACCCCAAATTAAAAGCTAAAGCTCAGGTACAAGTAAGAAGACCTAAAACCCAGGATCTCAGAGCTAAAGCCCATGATCCCTGAAGGCTAAAGCCCAGAAGCTAAGCGCTAAGAAAGCCCAGTTGAAACACGTGGCCTTAGAGCTAACGCCCAAGATCTCAGGGCTGAAGCCCAGCATCACAAAGATAAACGCACCAAAAACCCTAAATTAAAAGCTAAAGCTCAGGTATAAGTAAGAAGACCTAAAGCCCAGGATCTCAGAGCTAAAGCCCATGATACCTGAGGGCTAAAGCCCAGAAGCGCAGCGCTAAGAAAGCCCAGGATCTTCTTGGGGGGGCTCTGGGGGACCTCCTGGAGACTCTTTGGGGCGTCTTTTCTGGGGGTCCAGGGGGGGGTCTGGCGGGGGGTCTTGGGGGTCTCTTGGGGGGGTTAGACAATAAGGCAATTAGCAGAAAGGCGCGACTTGCAGAGGACTTTGGGCCGCCGTGGGGCCGTCTTGGGGTTGTCTTGGGCCCTCCTTGGATCGCTCTTGGCTCCCCTGGGCCCCCATTGGGCGCCTCTTGGGGCCTCTTCGGGCCCTCTTGGGGCTTCTTGGGGCCATATTAGGGTCATCTTGAAGCCATCTTGGACTTCCGACGACACAAATAAGTGAAATGCTTAAAAATGCAACCCCTCCTACACAAAATGCACATTTTGGGGTCCAGGACGCGCCTAAGTTCAGCCCAAATGGAAGTCCAGATAGAAGCTTCGAGTGATCTTGAGGCGATCATTCGGTTCAGGAGGCGATCATAGCGCGACTTGTCCGCCAGTGTCACTCCGGAAATCGCCGGGATGCCGGAACCCGTACTCGGGGCACCGGTTCCCGGAGCGCCAGGGCCCGGAACGTCCGGATCCGGACCCCAAGCGACCGAAAAAATCCAAACTCCCTTACCCGGATATATGTATATATATATATATATATATATATATGTATATGTATATATATATATATATATATATATATATATATATATATCTATGTATGTGCTGTCTGCTATAAATTCTATTGGATATTGCCCACTTAGCATGGTCAACGCAATGAGTCACAAACAATGGTTGTTCTTAGTCTGGACTGAATAACCGTGTCTCCAAAAATGCTTGCTCTAAGTATGGACTGAACAACCGTGTCACAAACAACGCTTGCTCTTAGTATGTACTCAACAACCAACCGTGTCGCAAACAAATGCCTGCTCTTAGCATGGACTGAACAGCCGCGTCACAAGGCATGCTTGCTATAAATATGGACTCATCAACCGTGTCACAAACAAATGCCTGTTCTTAGTATGGACTGAACTGCCGTGTCACACGGCATGCTTGCTATAAGTATGAATTGAACAACCGCGTCACAACAAAATGCTTGCTCTTACTATGGGCTCGACAATCGTGTCGCAAGCAATGGTTGCTCTTAGTATCGACTGAAAAACCGTGTCACAGGGCACGCTTGCTATAAGTAAGGACTGAACAACCGTGTCACAACAAAGCGAAGCGATATTAATGATATATTAAACTTCTCATATGACTAAATTATGACACGGCGGAATGCGGGAAACGATATGGATCATAGATATATGATAATTGTATTATATGCTGTTACGTTGCTACTTTCATGCTGATGAATGCAACACACATTGTAACAAAGGGTGCCGTTACATTTCTCCGAATGTCATATCCATAGCGTGTTATCCCAAACGCGCCGACGTATTGCTCATCTATCATCGAAGGTGCAGCCCAAAGAATATCATCGAAGTGAACCAAACGTGATCCGTACATCTATCATCGAAGGTGCAGCCCAAAGAATATCATCAATGAACCAAAGTAATCCAGACAATCCCACAGTGATTCCAAAGAATGCGATGGGTCTGGGTGCTGTGAGAGTGAAATGCCATGTGGAACTTGCCTTACATCCCTGCGAGCCTACATGCAAGTAAACGAATCTGCTGCGCTGCGCTGACCAGTATCCCGTTCATCCAGCAGGCGGTTGTTGTTCGTCGAAGACACAGATAAGACGAACTTCAATGGACTCCCTGTCAATGGCACCAGCCTTACATGTTGGGTCATGGAAAGCTGTGTGCAGGCAGAATGCCCCTCCATCAGCAACACTACCAAGAGAATCCCATGTCTTGATCAACAACGCTTCGCTCCTATCCATTTTGGGATAATAGAACCACTTATGTCGTTGCGATGCAGCCGCGTAGTAATTTGCACTGACTCGATCGCCGTAGTAGTCACTTTCGAGCACACAGAGGTCGTCTTTCGATGCGCTGCGTGAATCGCACATGGCAGGAGGGAACACCTCGACGGGCTCATCCAGAATTGGCCGCCAAATACCCACAATCATGAACCTGTGCTTGAAACCCCTCTCCACCCATTCGCTACTCAACAAGGGCTCGCTGCTCACTGCAAGCAGCTTATCACCCACACGCGGTGGGTCAGCCATGCGTCGGAAGCGGTCAACCGCGCCTGTCTGTGTAAAGTCGCCATGCACCACCATGGCTGCACCAGAAGGAAGTCGGCAGCGTCGCTTAAGTTCTTGTTCTAGCTCATGGTCAGTGATTGCAGTGGGGTCGATGCCTGCTGCCCGTCGAACGTTGTGATCGAACACCTCTACAAGCGCAGCACCTGTGATATTGCGAACAAGCTCCTTGCACTCGCCGTAATACTTTCTGGAATATGATGCTCTCATCAAAACAATCAGGATGCGATAAGGGAGTTGGGCTTGTAACCAACATGAAGCCCTCGCGATTCAGGCACGCTGGCTCTGCCATGAGGCGCGCATTAGCAACCAATGCGTCTGTCGGCACCATGCGCATGCCTACAACATCTAAAGGACTTCCCCTGCCGTCAAGTTTCAGTCTTCATTGCCCGTTGCGAACCAATGTCCTGATGGTATCACCATGCTGATATCCAAGCTTAGCCTTAACCGATGCGGCAGTCCCAGTTTCAACTCTTTGGCGTTTCGCTGGAGCTTCGGTGGTCATTGCTCCAAGTCTGTCAGGAAGTGACTGGAAAGTAGGGCAAGCCAATCAACTACAAAATAGCGCACATCTTTAGTGTTCCTCAAGCTTCGAACCAAAACGGCCAATCCCTGATTGTGATGACTTCGTTGTCTGAACATGTTGGGCGTTGTCATGCTGTCAATGTCGCTAAAACAGATAGGAGCCTTGGGTTGTGCTAAACATCACGCTGGATGCCACTAGCCTTGGTGCTAGTGTATGGCTGGGTGGGGTGGATCAAAGGGGCTGTGCCATAGGGTGGGTCATAGGGGTGGGTGGTGTCTTTGGGGCTGTGTTTTGCCACGCTGTTTGTTGAGGGGGGGAGACGAGGATATGCAAAGAAGTGTTGAGATTTACTCATGTTCGAAATTCCTCTCTGGTTATTTCGTCGGGGGCGGGAGGGGGGGAGTAATGGGTATCACACATGTATAGCGGGAGCTTGAAACCATTACCCATGCGTGTATCATGTCAGTGTTTTTTGTCTAGTGATTGTTGCCCCTTCAATCCCTACATGACGAACCAATGAGACCGTGTATATATGTATATATGTTTTGACTATTTTTTTGTTACTTTTCGTCGAAAATCCCCCTGTAGGGGGACACGCCCGACATAACCCTTCTGTGAAGGCCCGCCCCCCGCTGCCCTCCTGCCCGGGCGTGCCGCCGCTCGGGCCTGGAGGAGGCGGGCCCCTGGATTCCAGGGCTCCCCCAGGACCGGCTCCTCGCCACGAGTCGTTCTCCGACGGCCACGGGGGCCCGTGGACGGCACCCAGACATGGAGCACGGCGAATTCGGTGGCAGCTCATGGGAGCCCACCATACCATCTCGTCGGCCCTTGCGGATCGACGGCTGCCGACTCCGATTGCTGCCTAAGGCGAAAATCACGCGCGCGCTGGTGTTGAGACAGGATCAAATACCCACACCGCCACTCCACGGGTCTCTCCTGTCGGGGGGGTGCCCAAGATGCCCCTGGGCCAAGGTGCTTCCAGTTTGGGGCTCCATTTGGGAGCCCCTGGGGCACGCTGGGCATCCTGAGGGGTGCTCTGGAGGCCGTGGGGGCCTTCTAGGAACTCCTGGGGGGCACCTTGGGCCAGGGGCACTTCTAGCAACACCCGATCCTGGTGTGCGCTCTGACTGGGATCTGGAGGCGGATCCAGCCGTGGCGAGGGGGAAGGGTAGCGGCACCAACACAACGTTCTCCGCAGCGTTCTCAGAAGGAGAAAAACAGACACATAATCTTTCGGAACTCCGCGCGGATTTCCTGGATCGGCGCTGACCCCCCCTGGCGCGCGGAGCGCTCCAGGGGCGGCGCTGGAGGCGCCGCCAGGGGGGCGCAACGCTATTCCAAGAATTCTCCAAAAACATCCGAACAAATTCATGTTGACGCAACTTCTTCTTCTTCTTATTATTATTCTTCTTCTTCTTCTTCTTCTTTGTTCGATTCCACGGCGACTTCTTGGCCACACCCGGCTCTCGCGCACCGGGCACATCACACAAACATAACCACAACTACAAATGGATTTTCGGCGGGGGTGGCCCTCGGGGGAGAACCTGTCGGCCTCGAAATGAACACTTGAGTCGTGGTTGTGATCGATGTGGCCGATTGGGACGCCAACCTCGACCACAACCAATACTGAGCTGGTCTCGGTGGTCCAACGATTGCCGGCATGCCTCGGGGAGTGTCCTCGATGCCTGGCGGTCCAAGACATCCCTCGGGGAGTGTCCTCGATGTGGTTGTGGTCACTTGTCGCTGGAGGCGGCCTGGGGGCCTGAACTAGTTGGAGCCCTGGGGAATTTTCACAGGGCCCAGGGGCACACGAATAAATACACACAGATCCCAGGATTCCATATTTTTCTATGTTCTGGATGTTCGTCTTCCGCCCCACTTCCCATATTTCCCCATATCCCCCGAGTAATCGACGATTGATTGTGTCTGTGTTTTTTCCCGCAACCGAATCCCCTCAAGATCTGTCGCCGGACCCCTCCCCGGGTCCATCTGCTGCAGTTTCTCAGCCTGGATCAGCTTTTGGTAGTCCCGAGCCGGGGCCCTAAAGCGGGCTCCCAGAGGCCGAAACAAGCAAAAAGCCTTTCCGAACCCAGGGCCTCGAACCTGCCCTCTCTTCCTGCTGACCGCCCTACCAGTGCTGGGCCACCTCAGACCCCCAGCCAGCTCCAAGCTGCTTGCTGAGGCCGTGCACGACGACAGCAAAACCGAAAACCGACCGAGCCGACAACGCAGCCGAAACCCACCGAAACCGACAGGCCGCAGGCAGCCTCCAAGGGCGCAGCGATGCGGCAACGACACAGTGGCCCACCGAACCGAACCGACCGAACGAAACCGACTGCGACGCAGTCGAACGGACGGACCGAACCGCGAACCCCCTTGTTCCCTGACCTTCCAGGAGGGCAAAAAAATAGCACGCGACTTAAAAGCCGATCCCAGAGATATTCTATGTCTTGGTTTTAGGCTGTTTCGTATCGTTGTTTTATGTTTTTAGGCCTCCCGTGCTAAAAAATAGCTCTCTGGAAGGTCAGGGTTGTTGTCCCAAAAGCGTGCGGGCCCGGCGAGTCCTCTCAGCGGGCACCACGGCGCCGGCTGCCGCCTCCGCCGCCGGGTCCTGCAGCAGGGCGAGCTGCTCCGCCGCCGCCGCCTGCGGCGGGGACCGAGGCGCGAGCGCGCCCGCCTGGGGGAAGCGGCAAAGGCACGCTCGAGGCCAACGTTCGCAAGGGCCCCATTGCTGCTTAGGCATTCCCTGCGTCGTCGGCGCGCCCACACGAAGCCAGGACCGGGATGAAACCGGACAGTGATACATCGGGGATGTCCTGAGATCATGTTTGCATCGGCGCGGGGCTGCCAAGGGGAACCTGCGAAGCGGATGCTGGGGTGCCCCGAGCGCGCCCCGGGACGATCCACAACTCCGGACAGCGAGCCTCGATCCTCGAATCTCGACGTCGCCCGCGCACGACACTGGCCATCGCTCGGACGTCCATTTCCTGTGTTTTTTTCGGTTTCGTGCGTGGTTTTCTCGCGAAATGATCAAGGATGCTCCTCGATGGTCCTCGCCGGAAAAAAAATGCACACGTCCGAGCGATGCCAGGGGTGACATGCGACGACGACGAGCGGCGGCGGCGAGCCCACCGCTGCCTCGGGGCCGTCCGGCGAGGCCACCGCGCGGCGGCCGCCGCTCTTCGGCCGGCCGGGGGGCGCAGCGCCCTCTGGGCGCACGGGCTGCAGGGGCTGCTGCCGCGGAGCTGGCACCTCCTCGCCACGGTAAAGGGGCCCTGGGACACACAAAGAAATACACACAAATAAAAATGTTCCCCATATTTTCCCATATTTTCTTTGTTTCTGTCTTCCCCCCCACTTCCCATATTTTCCCATATTTTCGGGGGAATCGAGGATTAATTGTGTCTGTGTATTTCTTTTCCTCCTGACACGGGGCGGGCGCTGCTGCTGCTGAGCGAGGCGTGGAGCGCGCTCGTTCCCCAGCAGCGCTTGCAGCTTGCAGCTAAACAGCTCGAAGGCTCAGGACGCGCGACAAGAATGGAACTGGGCGCGGCCTGGGCGACCCTCAGCAAACCGTCCCCTGCCGTGACGTCACCCTCGCCCTTCCAAGCTCCCCTCCGGCCGCATACATATTGGGCGCCCGAATTATCCGGGGTAACTCGGGTCCGGGGCAACTCGGGTTTGGATTCCCGAACAAGGAACCCGAGTTAGCCCTGACCCGAGTTACCCCTGATGACTCGGGGCTCTGAACATACGTCTTGGGACGAGGCGGTGGGGACGTCACGGAAGGGGACGGTCTGCTAGGGGTCGGTTAGGCCGCACACGATACAAGGGCCTCGGAAGGCCACTCTGCGAGCAGGGCGCGGCCAGCGAAAGTCGCCAAGGATGGGCCGATGGTGCAAGGATGCAGGGGTAACTTTGGAAAGTCGCTCATCCTTACTATGCGCGGTGTCTGTGCTTGCGTCACGGCGGAATCAAATGGGTCTGGCGAAGATTGTCCGCGTTGCCCCCCCCGTGGCCGGCTCGCAGCCGCCTCGCAGGCTGGGTGGGTCCGTCCATGTTTCGTCATGTTGCCGCCCCGTGGGCGCACCGTTCGTACACTTCATAGCTCACCCTGCATAGATTGCATCACGCAGCTTGCACCTCGTAGCTCATGGCGAAGCATGTGTGCCGCATAGCTTGCACGGGATAGCTCGCGTATCATAGCTCACGCCACATCGGTTCTCATAAGCCGACCCTGTCGGCGTGTGTGAGGGGCTGTGCCGTTCGTCGTCGTCGTCGTCGTCGTCGTCGTCGTCGTCGTCGTCGTCGTTGCAGTGCTCTAGCGGGCTTGAGGGAAATAGACCCTTGTCGTGACCACGTCAAAAGGAAGCCCCTTCCCTTTGTCCCTTCCCTGGCGGGGGGGGGGTCCCGGAGGGGTCGCGGGCGCTGTGGGGGGGGTCCCAAAAGGGGGTCCCAGGGGGGGTCGCCACCCAAATACGCTTTCACTCCCCGCGCGTCCGGCGCTGTACACGCGCGGTTCGGGAACCTCGCGCGGCTTCCTGGTTCCCAAAATTGCCCCTGGAGGCCGAAAATGATGAAAGACTGAACATGTAGAACAACTCCCCCTCCCCCTCCCCCTCCCTCTCCCCCTCCCCCTCCCCCTCCTCCTCTTCCTCCTCCTCCTCCTCCTCCTCCTCATCCTCCTGCTCACTCTGCGGACTCCGAACCCCAGGCTCGAGGATCGAGGCTTCTGGCGCGGCCGAAGCCCTCTCTTCGGCCACCCTCCTGCTCCTCCTCCTCCTCCTCCTCCTCCTCCTCCCCCTCCAACTCCTCCTCCTCTTCCTCCTCCTCTTCCAACTCCTCCTTCTCCGCCCCCCACCTGTCCTACTCCTCCTCCTCTCCTCCTCCTCTCCCTCCTCCTCCTCCTCCCTCCTCCTCCTCCTCCTCTCCTCCTCCTCTCCTCCAACTCCTCCAACTCCTCCACCCTCCTCCCCCCCTTCTCCCCCTCTTCCTCCCTATCCTGCTCCAACCTCTACTTCCACGCTCCTCCTCCTCCTCCTCCTCCCTCCTCCTTCCTCCTCCTCCTCCTTTTCCCTCCTCCTCCTCCTCCTCCTCCTCCTCCTCCTCCTTTCCTCCTCCTCCTCCCCCTCCTCCTCCTCCTCCTTCTCCTCCTCATCTTCCACGGCCTCCGTCTCCGCCCACTTCGTCGCCGACGTCGTGGTCCTCTTCAGGGTCGACGGCACCGGCCGTCAGGCCTTCGCAGTAGACCCCACCACCCTCTCAGCCCTAGATTTATCCCGCCGCTTCGCAACTCAAGTCACATACGAGTCAACCCTATTGTTCCTTTCCACATGAGTGTACCCACCCCTACTGTTCCTTTCTACATGAGTGTGCCAGTCCTGGCAAAGTTACATTGGCCCTCCCACTCCTATCAACTAGCACAGCGCGCGAACACTCCCTACCCCTCCTAAGGTACAGAGTCGGGCGTTGGCAGAACTGGGTTTAATGGAACCTGGTTTAAAGATCTGTACCGGGGGCGCCCCCCCGTCCCATTTCCACTAACCGGAACTGCCGTCACCCGAAAAAACACCAGCTATGGCAAACCTGGTTTAGTGAATCTGGCCAATTCAAAGGCTCCGGGGCCCTACCACTAACCGGGCCCCCTTACCCGGGGTCCTGGCCATACCCGACCTTGATGAGATCAGGGGCGCGCAGACCCCACGCTTTCACCTCTCCGCGCGGTGCGCCCGCGTTGGCCGAGCCCGCGCTGGGCGCACGAATGCGTATGACACAAACCATGCAGCCCATACGCACACGCCTGCACACGCGCGTGCCGGAACATCTTAACCACACGTTGTTCCAATCGATCCCACTTTATAGTTTTGAACCATGTGCGACAACAACACGCTCTGGAACAACACATCAATCTCATTCTCGCCACCCCCAATCCGACAATTTCATCACTGACGCATGGTCATCACCATGGACAACAAATGGGTACGGTGCCCAACAACAAACGCTGTCCAACGTCGACAGTGGCCGCTGTTGGGCAAGTGGCCTTCTGTCTCGAATGGACAGCACCCGCAGCGACACCGACAACGAGCCCTGTTCAAAATGGGCAAGAACTGATGCCAATCTTCGCAAAGTCGAACCTAGGACAGAAGAATATGTTTGAGACCCTCCGCCGGCCAAAGCACACAGAACATGCAAGGGCACCGTCCCCAGGATGCACAAGAACACCCCGCAAAACACGAAGACCACCAGGGTACCCTCCCTGAGCAGACCACGATTGAGTATCGTTTAACCGATCCCCCTCCCAGCGGCGTGGCCTGGGCCCCACTGGCCGATTTACCCCCCTAGATGGGGATGTAGGTCGTTCCCTTCGGGTTTCGAGGGGTGTATCCCCAACTGGGGTGGTAGTTTGGTGGGGGTCTCGAAGGGAATGGGGATGGGGATGATGATCGGTTAAACGATACTTAACGATCTTATACCTCGGTCCGACAGACCCCTTCCCTCCGTACCCGCTTCAATCGCACCGCATGCCCGAGGCCAAAATACCGGCTCGGCCGGGACCGGTGCAGGGCCACTGTGGGGAAACCCAAAAGGTACCGATACCGCTACTCCCCAGACCTCTCCTGGAGTACGTTCTGACCAGGATTTCGAGAAGAATCCAGCGGTGGCGCCGATGGCCTCCCAGGAGACCAAAGAAGGGGGAAAAGGGCGAAGGGTAGAGGTATGGGTCGGGGGTCTTCTGACCCGGATCAATCAAGACCCGGGTCAGTCAAGCCTTGCAGAATCCTGCGAGATCCTGCACCCAAGCCCGGGCCAATGCGAAACATTGTGCAAAATCATGCAGGATCCTGCGCCCAGGCCCGGGTCAATGCCACCCTGGCCCTGCAGGATCTTGCAAAATCGGGCGCTCTGGCTGACCCCCGTTTTCATTGATAGGTGATCGAACAATTACATAAACGTAAAAACTCGGAGGTCCGCGCGGATTTCTCGGTTCGGCGCTGGACCCCCCTCCCTGGGGGGCGGCGCCGGAGGCGCCGCCAGGGGGTCCAGCGCGAATCCGAGAGGTCCGCGCGGACCTCCGAGTTTTATGTTTCTTTCATTGTTCGTTCCCCTACTGATTGACCCCGGTCTCAAGGCTGCCGAATGGGTACCTTTTCTCGGGCTGGGCGAAAGGGGGGTATAGCAAAGGGGGGGTTTGAGAATCAGCTCACGTGGCTGATTTTCCCGGCGCCGGAGGCGGCCATGTATCGAGGAATGGGCCCCTCGGTGGGGCCGAAACCAGCTGCATGCAGCAGACTTCGTAACCCCCCTTTCCCTGTTTGAGCAGGGAGCGACCGTCCCGGCATTCCTATAGTCATACCACGACATGTTCTAAGAACCCAAAAATGTTCTAAGAACAAAAACCATGCTCTTAGAACATAGACCCGATGCGTTAAAACAAGACAATCCCAATCAGAAATGTTCTAAGAACATTTCCTGGAAACCACAAACAGTTCTTAGAACATTGTTTGGTATGGCTATAGACACGCCGGGACGCTTCGCCACTGCTTGACCTATCCCCTCCTTTCGTCCGCCTCGATTTCCCCCGCCCGACACCGGCGCCCCCGCTCCTCGACCTGCTGGCACGGCGCCGCCGGAGCGGCTGCTTCCGGGGGCGGCGCCGCCAGCAGGGCAGGCGCCTGCAGGAGAGGCCAGCCCTCTTCTCCCCCCCCCAGAGGAGGAGCCGAGCAGTCTCGGGCAGGTCCACCCCGCATCGGGCCCATGCGCTCCTCCTCCTCCTCCTCCTCCTCCTCCTCCTCCTCGTGTTCCTCCTCCTCCTCCTCGTGTTCCTCCTCCTCCTCCCTCCTTCCTCCTCCTCCTCCTCCTCCTCCTCCTCCTCCTCCTCCTCCTCCTCCTCCTCCTCCTCCCCCTCCCCCTCCTCCATTCCTCCATTCCTCCATTCCTCCATTCCTCCATTCCTCCATTCCTCCACTCCTCCATTCCTCCATTCCTCCATTCCTCCTCCTCCCCCATTCCTCCGAGCACGCGCGATAAGGATGCAAGAGCCTTGGAAGGCCAGGTCGACACTTGGCGAGCGGGGCGCGGCCATCGAAGGTGACCAAAGATGGGCCGAAGGGGAAGGCTTCAAGGGTGACCGTGGAAAATCGCTCATCCTTACTACGCGGGTTGACTGCAAGGAACGCGAACTAAGGAACGCAACCCCTGTTTGGCCCACAGGGCACCTACGTGGACGAGGGGCGCTGGAAAAACAGCCGAGGAAGGACCTAAGCAACACGGAGCCTCTTCCGAACCCAAGCTGTTCATTGTTTCGGCAGCTTGGCTGTACGTGTGCTATGCTATCCATGGCCTGCGTACTGCTGAGAACCACCCCCCGAACGAGACATACCGGCGCTCTGGGGCGTCGGATGCCGCCGTTGCTCACTTTGGGAGGAGAGCCCAGAATCGAATCGATAAGTCGGATCGGATCGGCCGAACGCGACAGCCGAGTCTGGAAAAGTCGAATCGGCAGACATCGGCATGCCCGTAGGTCTCCATTGAGACATCGGAGTCCACTTCGGAATCCCAAGCCGGATCGAATCGGCATCGGAGGCCATCGAAGTCGAACCGAATCGAATCGAAGGGAATCGAAACGAGCCCTGCCCAACCTCCCTCTGTGATAGGCCTGTTCTCCACAACCACCATAAGTTAAACTGGAGGGGGAGGGGGTCCTCCGCCTCCTCATCCTCCTCCTCCTCCTCCTCGTCCTCCACCTCCTCCTCCTCCTGCACGAACCCTGCACGGCTCCCGTCCTGGCCCCTCGGTGAGCAGCGTTGGGCCGATTCCCATCCGCACTGGCGCGGCCTTGGCCCCGCTGGCCGACCGGCTGACTTAGCCACGCAGGCGGAGATCTGTACTCCGATGGCCCAGTGGGGATGGGGATGGACTCGAAGCTCCACGATGATTACTTAAGCCAGAAAGGGATGGGGATGGGGATAGTAGGGATGGGGATGGACTCGAAGCTCCACGATGATTACTTAACCCAAAAAGGACACCTGACCCTTTGGGAGGGACCGAAGTTAGGAGGGCCGAGAACATCAGGGGTAGGGGCTCGTTTCTGCAGGCGTATCGAACCAAACCCCCCAGAATTCTTATCCCTCATGCGAAGACGGGGACATCAGCGAGGACACGTCCTCACTGTGTTACTAGGGTTAGGGGTTCTTGTATCTTCGATCACACGATGACCCGCAATGAAGGGCCTTCCCCCAAGACTGCCCCAAACGACGCCCGAAGAGACGGCGAAGCCGAAACCGACCGAACCGAGAGAGGCCCGACGCAGCCGAGGAGGACGCAACGGCGCAATAACCGACCGAACTGAACCGACCGCAGGCGACTGACTGCGACGCAATTGTCCGAACCGAGCCGCAGTTACACTCAACCGGTACAAGACGGATGCGCGGTAAGGATGCAAGGGCCTTGGAGGGCCATGTCAATGTTCTTCGAACGAGGTTGGCCAACGAAAGTCGCTAAAGATGGGCTAAAGGGGCAGGGATGCAAGGGTTCCCTTGGGAAGGGTGCCCATCCTTACCATGCGGGTTGACTGGAACATCGACCACCCTAAGACTGCCCCAAGGTCGCCACGCCAGCGTCAGCAAACGAACCCAGGGCAGCACCAACACCTCAAGATGGTCCCTCCGAGGCCATCCCTGCGCAGCGAGCGGCAGCGTGGCTCGAACTGCTGCTGCCGCTCGATCTCATCTGTGCGGTCACCGCGGCCGAACATGACAACTTGGTGCTGCCGCAGCCGGCGGAATCGGGCTGAGAGCCATGATACATGTCGCATTCGAGCTGAATCGGCCTACACAATTGCTTGTCCACTATAACCAGCTCTGGTCGGCCTCAGGGTGACGAAAGCAGGTCAATCAAATGCGACCTGGGAACTGAGTGTTCCCCAGAAAGGCGGCGAGTGCCGCGCATCTTTTGCACCCTAGTGCACCATTCAGATTGCACCTATCATATTGCACAGGGTGCCTTAGGGGGCCTTGCGCAGGGAGACCTCTGAAACGAACTTGCAGCCTCCAGCCTCTCTTTCTCGTGCAATAACCTCGGCAAGGGACTGTACCCCGCCCTGCGTCACACGTGCGTGGAAACGCTCACAAGAAGAAGCATTGAATTGCTGAGCCAGCTAGGCCGAATAGTCGCGGTGCGGCAGCAACGGCAGGACAGGATCCGAGTACACATGCACTGATGTGTTATGCAGATGTGCCTTTGCGTATATGCTGTGGTCAACTCTATATCTGACAAAGAATCAATTGGACTGTGGTTGTGTATGCTATGTAATGTGAAGTATGAGCTGTGATCTGTGCCGTGTGAGCTGTGTGGTGCAAGCCATGTGGCACAATCTGTGTGTTGCGCTCTAGCGAGCAGTGGCAACGGGCGACAGCGTGGCGAATCCTCGGCGGACCCCCCAAGCGCGGTGGGCGGCATCGGGCGGCATCGTGGCGAACCCTCGGCGGACCCCCAAAGGCAAGGAGGAGGCAACGGGTGGCAACGTGGCGAAACCTCGACGAACCCCCTCAACGGCCACGAGGCGGCAACATGTGGCAGCGTGGCGGACCCTTGGCGGACCCCCAACGGCAACGAGGGGACACCGGGCGGTAACGTGGCGAATCCTCGACGGACCCCCTCAACGGCCACGAGGCGGCAACGAGTGGCAACGTGGCGAATCCTCGACGGACCCCCCAAAGGCAGCGAGGCGGCAGCGGGTAGCAACGTGGCGAATCCTCGGCGGATCCCCGATGGCAGCGAGGCTAGCGAGGGGGCAACGGTGCAACGGTCGGCAGCGTGCCAAAATCTGGCGACCCCCCCACCGGCAACGCAGCGCAACGGGTGGCAACGTGGCGAAACCTCGGCGGACCCCCAAGCTGCAACGAGGCGGCAGCGGGTGGCATTGTGGAGGAAACTCGACGTGCCTCTCGACGGCAAAGAGGCGGCAACGTGGCGAGTCCTCAGAACCCCCTCCCAACGGCAACGAGGTGGCATTGGGCGGCAACGTGGCGAAACCTCGGCGGACCCTCAACGGCCACGAGGCGGCAACGAGAGGCAACGTAGCGAAACCTCGGCGGACCCCCCAACGACGACGAGGTGGCAAAAAGGTAGCACCATGGCGAAACATCGTCGGACACAAGCAAGAGCTCCAAAGTGCAAACGCTGTTAGGGGAATATACCAAGTGTAAGACTGGGCGGCAGCTCGTTTGCTTGCTTAGTTGACTGACTCCACACTTGCTTGATTGCTGGAGTGTGCCTGCTTGTTTGCTGGGCACGGCCGCCCAAAGGAGCTCACGTTCATTGGCTACATAGGCGTACGCGCACGAACCAGGGCCCGTGCCTAATGAAGATGCGGACCCTCCAATCGTAACAGTATGCAGGTGCGCAGTTGGACGCCACTTATCCGCATGCTCCGATCTGGGACAAGTCGATGCTGGGCCCCAGACCGAGGGAGATGCCCTCCTGGCCAAGCCAGGAGAGCGTTCTCAAAAATTCCGGGCCCTCGGATGGCCGGTGGTCAGCGTCGATAGTACACCACATTGGCCCTCGGGGTCACCCGACGTCGCGCTGCGCGCTGCGCTGTGGTGCCTCTGTGCTCTCGCGCGGCCGCACGGGAGAAAAGTGACCCTCTAGGGGCCCGAGCGGGACATTCGCAGATCCCCACGGTCCCGCGGGAGACCGGGCTGGATCGGGGAGGCAGAAGGCTCGAGTTTGGAGGACTCGAGTTGGCCTGATGGGGCCGTCCGAAAAGTGGCGAGAGACGAGATCCCTTATGGAGTTCGACTCGAGCTCTCTCTCTCACTCTCTCTCTCTCTCTCTACAAACGTCCCACGAAACCTGGATCGTCAAAACTCAAGACGGTCCAGCCAAACAGCGTCGGCAAACCCGAGTTCCAACGAACTCGAGATTTCCGTCTCCCCAGCTGGACCCCGCCCGGGCCCCGCCCCGGCCAGTCTCTCGAACCATCGCGAACGCCCAGAACAGCCTCCCCCAAAACAACGTCGCCGACGCGCCGTCGTCGTGCGCGCGCGCGTGGCGCTGCGCCACGCTGCCGCGCCGCCGCCGCTCGCGCGCGCCGCACCGCGGTGCCGCACCGCCGCCGCGCGCGAGCCGCAGTGCCGCTGCCGCGGTGCCGCGGTGCCGCCAAGGCGAGCGCAGTGGCGCCGCGCCGCGCCCCCGCGCAGCGGTGCTGCGCCACCGCCGTGGCGCGCGCGAGCGCATCGCGCGCGCGCCACGCGGCGCATCGGGGCGCCTGCTCGGCGGCCGCCGCGGCCTGCGTGGGCGCCTCGGCCGCGACCGCGGCCAGGGCGTCGGGGCAGCCGTACCGCCGCTTCCACTCCAGGAGCTCCGCCTGTTGCGACGCGGCGCATTCGGCCATCGAGAGGGCCGAGGAGCGACCTGGGCATCCGACGACCGAGAGGGTTCGACGACCGAGAGCGTCGAGGATTCGACGGCCGAGAGCGTCGACGGTCGACGTGGACGTCGGGGCAGCCGTACCGAGGGCTCCACCCCAGAAGCTCCGCCTCAGCGGCTGGGGCGCCGATTCGGCAGTTGAGCGGGTCGAGGATCATCGATTCGGATCGACGTTTCCAAATTGACCTCACTGCTCGCGTCGCGCCCCGCGATACGGGACGCGCGGATACCTGTGCGCCCTCGCGCCGCCCTCCTCTGCCAATCGTGCCCAAACCACGATGCGCGAAGCGTGAGTGTCTTCGCGCCCCTGAGGGTGACCTAGGTCCATTCGCGTCGAGGAAGGTCGGATGGGATGTCGACGCACCCCTGCCGCCGCTCAGGCCATAGAGGCTCCGCCTGCGACAACGGTACCGACAAATTCCCAGAAATGCTCATACCTCACGGTGTCCCCAAACACCCTCCGGTATCTGTTCGAGGACGCACTGAACCGGGTCCATGCAAACCCGGGTCAGTCAGGCGCTGCAGGATCCTGAAAGATCCTGCACAGCAGCCCAGGTCAGTGCAGCCCCGCAGAATCTGGCGCTCTGACTGACCCCGTCTGCATGGACCCCCGTCTTGTGAGCCCCGACACGGTGTCCCCAGACATTCTCCTCTGGTCTCTGTTTTTCAATCCGCTGTCCCGGACGACAACTACATTGCGGGCGCGGCCGCAAGAAACCCTCGCAAGAACCCAACGCTGAAAACCCGAGCGCAAAGTGCACCAGAGGGGAAACCCGGAGCACCCTGGACGCAACAGCTTCTTCAACTGCTGCGGGAAGTCACCGCGCAGCGCGCGGAGCAAAACACACATGGTTTCTTGATTCGCGTCCCCACTGGATCATATCGAGGAGCGGCAAGAGCGGGGAGGAGGAGGAGGCGGAGGAGGAGGAGGAGGCGGAGGAAGAGGAGGAAGAGAAGGAGGAGGAAGAGGAGGAGGTCCCCTGGCGAAAAAACATAGACCCCCTCCCGGCTTGGCCGGGAAGGCGCCCACACCACTCCTGGGCCCAGGGCTGGCGTAGAGCCAGAAGGCGTCCACACCACCCTTGGGCCAGGAAGGCGTCCCCACTACTCCTGGGCAAGGCAGGCACCCACACCACGGGCCCAAGATCGGCGCGGACCCCCTCCCGGCTTGGCCAGCAAGGCGCCCACACCACTCCTGGGCCCCAGGGTTGGCCCGCCCAGGCCGGCGTTGGGCAGAGTTGGGTCCTCCGCAAGACGAAGCCAGGAGGATAACATCGGCCGAGGATAAAATCGTGCGAAAATGAATCGGCTGAGATCCAGCAGCACTGGAGGATGTCCCGAGCGCCGCGGCCTTCTCAGACCGTCCCAGAGCGCTGTGAGAGCGTCCACACCAATCCCGGGCATCGGGTTGGCCCGTCAAAGGTCGGCGTTGGGCAGCGTTGGGGTCTTCCGCAAGACGAAACCGGGAAGAAAAATCGGGCGAGTATCCCCCATCGATTCCCATAGTTTCTAGATTTCAATCTACCCAAGATAACATCGGAAGAGGATGAATGGAACATCTCTGAGATCCGGCAATTCTGGAGGATGTCTCGGGCGCCGCGGCCTTCTCGGAGCGTTCCGAAACGCTCTGAGAGCGTTCTGGAACGCTATGGGATGGAACTATCCTCGTCCTGGCCCCGTCGGGCTTCCCCTCCGTTCCCCATCCGTTCACCCATCCTCATGGGAACCTCACTGCAGCTGTGTCTGTGCCCTCGCCCCTTGTGAAGTGGGGCCTCCCCAGAGCGAGGCCTTCCATGGGGCCCCTCCTCTGCGGCGACGCGGTAGATCCGCAGACCCATGGGACGCAGCAGGACAGACCAATACTGTGTGCCCTCCTCGCAAGCGTGCGTCAGACCCGAACACCCAGTACAACCAATTTCGTTTTCTCCTCGGTCTGGTTCAGGCGCTGCGGCCCGCAGGCCGGAGGGGACCAATATTATGGCAGCCTGATTGAGAATACCGGCGCGTGAACGAGAAGATGTGCGACGGAATCTCGAAAGTTCTTCCTCTGTCCTGCCAGGGGGGGCCCCTGGCGGCAGTGTGGACAGCGACGGGTCAGCAGAACCACCTTGTAGTGTATCGTTTCCCGAACGGCGCGGCCAGCAAACGCCCGCCACCGAGCATCTCCTATGAGAGTTCTCGATGCGCGCGTCTCGCCCCCGAGGGGGCGACGCACACACAATATTGGTATGTTGGGGCGGCCCGCGGGCCCAGACTCGGAAGCTGGCGCCGTCCTGCCCGGCGTTGAATCTTACGCGGGGCGCTCTGCGAAGAAGAAACACTGCAGAATGCCTGCAAAGGCGCCTCTAGAAATGTCCGAACACCTTTGCGGGGCCGAGGACCTCCGAAGGCCTCCAGGGGTCTACGACGGCCTCCGAGGGCCTCCGCGAGCCCCCGCTTCAAGGATTTCGGAGATACGCCACATGCAAATTGATTGCAACAACTTCTAAATAGTTTCGCGGTGGTAATGTATAACTGCTTCACAACTTACTTACAATTTTCTGTAACTGTCTCGCTCGTGTCGATTTCACTCGTGCTGCTTATGTTAAGGTTGCATAACTGTCCATAACTTGTCGTAACTGTTCGTAACGTTTCGCAATTCTTCTTAACTTTTTTAATAGCGCCTAGCATCAGCATGGCCACGGCGAGCCGCTGGCTCGTTGGCTCTACCATCATGGCCAAGGCGACCCGCTGCCTCGTTTGGGGGGCGGGCGAACGCGCCGAAACCGCAGGCTCAGACCTGCGCCTGCGGCGCGATCGCCCGAGAAATCAATTTGCTTGGTCTTCTTCGACGCCCCATCCTCGCGTTCATCTTCATCACCGTTATCGTTATCCTGCTCCTCCTCCTCATCACTCCCATCCCCCCTCCTCCGATCAGGTCGTCATCATATCATCATCATACATGCACATCGTAGTTATCATGATTGTACTTCACCTCTTCCCTTCTCCTCATGAGCATCACCATCGCAATGGCTGCTGTGTGGTAATAAATATGTATATGTGTGTTCCTTTGTTCCCAGAGCTATAGGTCAAGGGTACTTAATGTAAGTATGTATATCTGAGTTGTTTCTGACATGCGTTGTCTAATTGCGCGTAACTGTTTCGAGGATGTCTCGAGCGCTTGGCGTAACTATAGCTAACGTGACTGAAAGTAGCTGGACTGTAACTGACGCGTAACTGGAACGTAATTGAAACGTAACTAGCACGCAACTGGATGTTTATGGTGGTCGTTGACGCCGGTATACTCGCTGTCGCTATCGTCATTGTAGTCGTCGTCGTCCTCGTCGCGGTAGCCGTCGTAGTCCTCGCCGTCTTCATTTTCGTGTGCATCCCGACATCGCAAATTCAAATATAATTTGCTTTTGTTGTTGTGTGTATGCCTACAAATACAGATGCAACCCTCACCGCCGCGCACCGCGGCGAGCCAGCGGAGCGGAGCCAGCGGAGTGGCACTCGAGCAACGGCTCTACACGAAACCTGCAATCCAGCATGTCGCACGCCAACTAGAATCCGCGCCCGCTTATCTCGAGGGGGCGGCATTGGCGCAATCAGCAACGCTTGGGCATGAATGCGCGGCAGTACGAGAGAGTTCAAACGATAGCAATCGAATGGAACACGCGATGCGTAGTGTGGGTTCTTCTTGCTTATTCGTATACGCGATGTGTTTTGTAACTTTTCGTAACTTTTCATATCTGTTCATAACTAGTCACGAATTCCACCTAAAGTTTGTAGCTTTCGAGCGCATCAACTGGGTTGCTGCGCTGGCCACAACTAAATTATGCGTCAGAGCACGCATTTGACAAATGTCTAGCAACTCTAATCTAATAAGTTGTGAATCACTGATACTCACTTACAGCCAACCCTAACACACATATATACATATATATATATGTATATGTATATGAAGAACTGAACAACTTGTTGCTACTTTGTTGACCAACATATGTGTTGTTCGCAATGATATAAGGACACTGGGTCTGATTATACATGGTATTGTAATTATGTTGCATTCGCATAACGCAAATATTCTTGAACCGGGGTCTTCTGGAAGTCTCCGGGACCATCCGGGGGGGTTCGAAAGCCTCCAAGGGCCTCCGAAAGCCTTCGAGGGCCTCCAGAAGCCTCATGAGAAAAAGCCTCGTCTAAGAGCGCGCGGTGCACAGCAGAGGGACGCGTCTTGCACCACGAGTGCTTTTTAAACATGCTTGGGGAGAGGCCTCGTCTAGCAGCGGGTGGCGCACGGCACAGGGGGACGTCTAGTACCAAAGGTGCTGTGTTAATCAGCTTGGGGAGGGGCCTCGTTGAGCGTCGGGTGACGCACAGCACAGATGCATTTCAAATACCGAATTTGCGTCCCCAATCAACTTGGGGAGGGGCCTTGTATGGCAGTGGGTGGTGCACAGCAGGAGTCCCGGGGGCCTCCGAGAGCCTCCGTGGCCTCTGGAACCCTCCTGGGGAGGGGCCTTGCCTAGCAGCGGGCGGTGCACAGCAGAGGGGCACGTCTAGCACCAAAGATGCCATCCTTGAAATCAGCTGGAGAGGGGCCTCGTCTGGCAGCGGGCGGGGCACAGGAGGGAGGCACGTCTAGTACCAAAGGTGTTGTTTGATCAGCTTGCGGAAGGGCCTCATCTAGTAGCGGGTGGCGCACGGCACACGGGCACGTCTGCTACCAACGATGTTGCTTCAATCAGTTTGGGAAGGGTTCTCGTCGAGCAGGGTGATGCACAGCAGAGAGGCACGCCCAGTACCAAGGACGTGCCCTGACCCAACTTGGGGACGGGCCTCGTCCAGCAGTGGGTGGTACACGTTTTTCCTCGCAGCGCGGCAGGGGCGGTCCGCATGCGCGCTCGGGCGGGCTGGGAGACGGCGGGCGGTAATCATCCGGCGGCAAGAGAGGGA